CCTCCTCACTGACACCCACATTCAGGAGGTCTAGATCAGTCCCATGCTGGACTCTCAGTTATCAGTCTGGGATCCATGAGCTCACCCTTGTTCAGGTCCAGTGCTGACTTTTGAACATCTCTTTGCTGTTCATTGTTGTATCAAATGCTATTCTTTCTCTTCTGATGCTGGCTTTCACTTCCCCCATCAAAGTTTCAAAATTCAAGCAAAATGCTACTCACATCTCATTTAAGCACATCACTGGATTTTTAACCTAACTGTATGCATTTGAACTTCCTGAGTACCCACACTAATTAACCACTGATTATTCTGCCTAAAACTAAAAGCAATGGCATTTGAGGGTGGAGCTGTATTGATTACCACATGCGACTCCTGTAGGCATTAGTACACTCTGCCAGGCCCAGCCCTTGTATTAACATGCATGACTCTTAACTATACTGGTTAATCTATATTGATTTATAAAAGGCCAATTCATATGATCAGTGCCTGCCCCTTTGATTGGAACACTGTTTACACTATGTCTTGGGTCATGATAATAGCAGCAGGTATGAGTACTGTTTTTTATTAAATGCTAAATCTATGCTGTATCTTACATTAAATATATTTTTCACTTTTTATTATATATTTAAATTAGAAGCAAGCTTGCTTCCCATGTCAGTCCCAGCTCCCTCTCCCTCCCCTCCACCCCCACTCCCCCCCCAGTCCTCCCAGCCCCCCACCCAATCCCCACTCCATTCTCCAGGGGATTGGGGGATCTCTAGAGTCTGTCATTTTGTTCCGGGGAGAGCTCAGGCCCTCCCCTACACTAAATTTATATGCCATTTCTGGTCAGATAATTCCTACAGCCATCAATGTCAAATGTCATGACCATAGTGTAAACTCACAACATTGTTAAGTTGCAAAAGAAGATGGACTCTCTCCACACACTATTACCGTCTCTATTGTCACCATGGTCACTGTGATAGTCATAGTGAGGCTGAGTAAGTTTCCATAGAGGACATTGGTGTCATAATCACCCATGTAGAATTGACTGTTATCCTGGAGGAAGGCTGACCTGCCTCCTTCTTGCTGTAGCTGTTAGGTTTATAGTGTTCTTGGAATTGTGCACTGTGAGCTTTGGCTTAAAGAAATCTAATAATGCCAAAGGATCAAATAAATCAAGTCAGTGTATTATGGGTTTGCTCATGCTCCAAGTACAGGACTATAGGATGGCTTGCCATGTCCTAACTTTAGAGCTGACCCATCCTTAGCAAGAACAAGCTGTATGGCTTCTTTCTCTATCGGAATTTTCCATGAAGTAATCAAGACACTGAGAACATTTTTAAAATGGGATGACTGTGAAGTTCTTTACTTGAGTTCAGAGTTTTGGGAGAGAGGTGATCAGAGCCCTCTAGGTCAGGGAAGGAAACACTCTACACTCTCAGGTTCTGCATGAGTCTTTCCCACGGACAAAATCAAGCCACAGTCCTGAATTTGAAAAAAAATCACTGGTAATCCTGGCCTAGTGATTCATGCCTGTAATTCCATTGTCAGGAAGCTGATATAGGAGGATTCCCAGGAATTGGAGGTCAATTTAGCCTCCAGACAAGTCTGGGCTACAGAGAGAGATCTTGTCTCGGAAAAAAATGGGGTTGGGACTAGAGAGATGGCCCAGTACTTGCTTGTATGTACATGATTTCAAGGCTGACTGGTATTGGATAACCAGTTTGGGGGCTCTTCCCTAGGGAAGACTATTTCTCCTACTCTCAGAACTCCTTAGTTGCCTATAGTTCTTTGTGTAGGGTTGAGACCTTATTAGATTTCTCTTTTGTGTTAGCATGCCTATTGAAATCATATACACACTAGTAATAAAGAGCCTGAGCAGTTTATATTTATATATTTAGGAATATATATATTCATAGAGATATACACACATACAAATATATAGAAAGAGCAATAGGAGGGGTGCATGGGAAGGGTTGGAGGGAGGAAGAGGAAAGAAAAATGAAGAAACTATAATTTTATGTTTAAATAAAAAAAATCCCACATGGTTCTTGTTACTCTATTCTTACAGAGGGCTGCAGTTCAGTTCCTAGCACCTTCCCCAATAGGTTCACAACTGCTTTTAACTCCAGATGCATGAGATCTGATGCCGTCTTCTGGCTTATAAGAGTACCTGTACACATATGATACACACGCACACGCGCGCACACACACACATACACACACACACACACACACACACACACACACACGCACGCATGCAGCACGCACGCACACATAAATGGAACAAAATCTTAAAAATAAAGAAAATGTTGGGCAGGAGGCAGGTTTATCTCTGTGAGTTCAAAGCTAGTGCTTGGTTTACAGAGCTAGTTCCATGACAGCCAGGGCTACACAGAAAAACCCTGCCTCAAGCCAAGGGAAAAAAAAAAAAAAGAAAGAAAAGAAAAAGAAAGAAAGCAATGGACATAGAGGACTTTTTCTGAGTCTCTTTTTTTGTGAGCAGCTAGTTTTGATAAATGATTGTTTTACTAATATAAATATTCATAGAATGTGAAACTAGAGAGCCATCCGGAGCCTCTCTACATGCCTGCCTGAAAGCATTTTTTTTTGTAGCAGAGAAATTCAGGAATTCACATTGAGACAGCACCCTGCAGATGAGAAGAAACTCACCATAGATCTATCCTACAAGACTAAGAAAAAAAAAAGACTCAATTTAATATGAGTTGGTAATTTTCCATATGACCCTTTAATTTTGGAAAAAAATGAGGTCACTTTCAAAACTACCTGTGAGTGGGCTGGGTCTTACTTTGTTTATGGAAGAGGCACACATAGCTAAACAAAGTGACCACAAGGTCCCCTAAATATAGCAATGAATTCCTTCATAATCAGGATACCCAGTCAGGTAATGTTCAGCATAGAGCCTGTGACCTGTGTTTTCATGGGAGTGAATGACCTGATCAGGGGTCTCTTAGGATTATCCTCTAAAGAAGAGTAAACAAAGCCAGTAACTTTTCTTTGGTTACGAACTTAGTATGATTCTAAAAGACTCAATGGCTTGCTTTACTTAGGTGAGTCATAAAACTAGTTTTGAAGGCAGAGTACAAAATGGAATCTTAGAAAATGCTTTGGCTACATTAAAATAAGTATTTAGCCTTCTGTTTCAATAGGGAAAAATGATCTAACTTTCTACATGATACTAAATTAGGGTAAAATTAGTTCTAACTTGGTAATCTTTTCTTTTTAGTAAAAGCAGCTTAAAGCTGCAGGTGGCAGCTACTATTCTGCTGTGATGTGAGCACAATGACTTTGCAAACTACAGAGTGAGTCATTTCCTAGCAAGTTACCACGAGTACAGTGGAGTGGAAGCTTCAAATGCAATAGTAATCGAGTCATTCTCGTCTCATTTTTTAAAATTGCTTCCTTCACCATACATATCTAGATTATGCAAAATATTTAAATTATTGCCAATCACCATTCAATGAGGTAAGGCTTTTTGAGCATTCTCCTTGTTTTCTAAGTTGCAAAATTCTTAGAAAAAACAAACAAACAAACAAAACTTAAGGTATCACATCATTATTTAGGGCTGAGCTAGCACATAGGAAGCCCTGAATTCAATCCCCAGCATCAAGTAAAACTGGGTGTGCCAGTACAGTGTACACCTCTAAGGCAGAAGCATCAGACACTCAAGGTCATCGTCAGCTGCACAGAAAATTCAAGGCCAATCTGGACTGTATTAGCCTTTGTATCAACGAGCAAACGAAATGTAATGTTTAAATTAAAACAGTAAGAGGAAGAGAGCATTTCTGTTCACTGTTTGGCATAATTAATAAAATACCCTGTAGCAGCTGGGTAGGGAGCAGTTCTCTGAGTGTGGATGCTGCATGAATACATGGACAATGATGCTACAAAAGGTTTGCCTAAATCAAGCTCTGCGACAATCTCAGGATGCCTCTGACCTCCCGATATTCCAGGAGAAACATTGTCAAATTCATTTTATGAGGCCAGAGTTATTCTGTTCCCAAACCACAAAAAGATGCAACAAAGAATTATAGATCATTTCCCCTAGATGCAAAAATTCTTGCAAACGAAATCCAAGAGTACATCAAAAAGATTATCCACCATGATCAAGTAGGCTTTATTCCATGGATGCAGGGATGGCCCAACATATGAAAATCAGTCAGTGTAGTTCACCATATAAACAGACTGAAATAAAAAACACACACACACACATGCTGGCGTGCATGATTATCTCATTAGATGCTGAAAAAGCCTTTGACAAAATCCAACATCCCTTCATGATAAAACTCTTGGAGAGATCAGGGATACAAGGGACATAACCTAAACATAATAAAGGCAATTTATAACAAGCCTACAGCCAACATCAAATTAAATGGAGAAACTGAAAGCAATTCCACTAAAATTAGGAAAAAGACAAGGCTGTCCACTCAGCTGGTCCTCTTGTTCAGTGTGTAAGCTGTGGCCACCTTCTCTCCTTGGGCATCTTATTTTACCCTACCATTGAATGCCAGACCTTCCTTGTTGGAATGGTTTGGGAGCTTGGCCAGTCCTCATGTTAGCATTGTGTCCAAGCCCTTCAGTCTGGTCCTTTGGGAGTGCTCCTGAGTTATGACTGTGGCTCTGGCTGCACCTTTCCCTGTTTTCTTTCTGCCTGAGAAGCTTGTGAATTTGGATAAAGACACTGGCACTCTAGGTAGGATCCATTTCATCATGGTCGGAGTTAGAATCTGACACATGGGCCGAGCATGCATCCAGGCCGCTGTTCTATTTCTTGTTTCCTTCCCTTCCAGGCTTTGTAGAAATGAAGAAAGCTTTTGTTATTTAACCATGGTTTACTACTTTTAGCCAACATTTGCATTGCACTGTCTTCTAATGGTCACTTTGAAAACTAGGCTCATTGTCACTTGTATTCCTGTTCTATGTAACTTGTGAGTCTATTAATGTATAATAAAGTCCGGTGTCTTTTTAATAGATGTTCATTTTTTTTTCTCATCCAGGGTTACCAAGGCATGGTGGATGGAGGCTCCAATATTGTGGAAGCCAAGTGGGAGAGTGTCTCCAGCATTCTGCAAATCGTAGGTGTCATGCTGCTCTTTGTTTCTCTTTATTAAGGTTAACATTTTAATTTGAAACATTTCATGCTTAAGCTTCAGTAAGTTCTAAAGCATCTTCCCTTCCCAGCTAGCTAATTATAAATTATAATTAGTTCATTGTTTTAAACTACCTATAAAGACAGAAAACACTCACTGCTTACTGTGTACCATATTTTTCTTGTCTCTGTGACAAATACTTGACTGAAGGAACCTGAGGGAGAATTCATTTGGTTCACGGATCTGAGGATACAGTAGCTGAGAGACTGAGTAGTTCAGTTCATGGAGGCAGGGGGCTTGTGGCCAAGCTTGTAACAGGGAAATTCTTGAATGGCTTCTCACATCTTGGCAGATTAGAAGCAGAGAGCTGGGGTTAGAAGCCAAGGTGGTCATCACCTTCGAAGATCACTCCGGCAACCCACTTGGACTTCAGCCAATCTCAAAACAGTCACAATTCTCCTCAGACAATACTGCTTGAGAACCAGGGGTTTAAACACAACTGCCTGTGGGGTATCAATCTACAATATGGGTGGTTTAATTATTTTTTATTTCATGTGTGTATGTGTGTGCCTGTGTGAGTTTATGTGCATGTGTTTACACCTGTGCACAGGAAAGTCAGAAAATGATGCTGAATCTCTTGGAGCTGGAGTTTTAGCCATTTGTGCAATACCTGGCTTGTTCCATGGGAGCTTGTTACATGAGGAGCAGAGTCCTCATGACTATACAGCAAATAGTTTTAACCACTGAGTCATCTTCCAGGCCCTTTCATCTAAGTCTTAAAAACATCAACATGACCTTAACTCATGTATCCTTGCAATACAGACTTGTATGCCTCAGACTCAGCTACTGTTCATTGTGTTACTTGTGGTGATTTTTTTTTAAAGAGTAGAGGAATGTAGAGGTTATTTGGGTTTGCTGGTGCGATGTGTTCATTGGCAAATCTCTGTGCCCTTGGCACTGAGTGAAAGCTGGGGGAAGATTGTGCCTGGCAGCCCCTAGGGCTGTGGATTTAACAGGGACACTTCATCCCTGCTCTAGCTTGAAGCAGACACAGCTAATTCTGCCTTGTGCACAAGGAAGAAGTAATTGCTACTTCAGGCAGCACAGTTGCTTGCTTTGAATTTAAAAGAGATCTGTCCAAGGAACTTACACCTCATGCATTCCTGGAACATTTTGGCTTAAGAAAGGGTCCAAATTAGTTGAAAAATAAAGGGATAATGTAGGAAGGAAAGACTATAAAAAGCTCTTTTTTTGTGGCTTGAGCTTCTAAAACCTAAGGATTAATCTCTGACTCATCTTGTCCTTTGATTTATACTTTTTCTTTTTCTTTTTTTCCTGAGACAGGGTTTCTCTGTGTAGCCCTGACTGGAACCCATTCTGTAGATCAGTGTGGCCTCTAACTCAGAGATCTGCCTCTGTCTCCTGTGTGCTAGGATTAAAGGCATGTGTCACCACTGCCCATACTTGAATACTTTTTAATATAAATAAAATTGGCAAATTCACTCTGAAGGTGCTAAGGGGGTGTATACTTTAATAAATGTCAAAGACTCTGAGATTGCACTTGGAAGTTCTTAGCTTTGCTAACATACCTGGGAAGACAGTGAAGGACATTTTGGCCCATCCATAATTGAGCAGAGTAATGCTTTCAAGACTTCAGCTCATTCTCAACACAGAACAAAGTCATCCTGCTGTTGTGATAGAGATAGCAAATTAGAAAATGCACTTGTGGTTGTGAGTGGCAGGGTTACTGAGAAGGCATAGGTTGTCTCTCACCCTTGGATAGAGTCCTGGCCTTCCATGGGTCACTCCAGGACTATAGCTTTAAATGAAATCATGGAAACTGTACTCCTTTCATATTCCTTTGGTTCATTGATTTGACTCATAGGACAGCCAGGTTACCGTCAGGAGGCAGAACAGGTTTGCAATGGCTGATGTCCAATGAAGTGCTAATGCATCCCTCTGTGTGTACCTGGTCCAGTTCATCCCCTGTTGGGACAGCTCTGACCCAAACAAGCTGGGAGGCTGCGGTGACCCTGTAGACACTAACGCTGTCCCTTTCAGCTGAAGGTTGGCATCCATTAGTCTTTCATGGGCATCAGGCTAGAGTGTTTCTTATCGATTTCCAGGGTGGAACTAAAATGGGGAACTCAGGCTTTGACAGCAGACTGATGGCAGAGATGAAAATGAGGAAAACACGTGTGCTGATCCATCTGGCTTCCTGTCAGTGAGCGTGATTTATGTCCTCTCCAGGGTGGGACGATCATCGGGAGTGCCCGTTGCCAAGCCTTTCGCAGCCGGGAAGGGCGTCTGAAAGCTGCCTGTAACTTGGTGCGTTTGGGCATCACCAACCTGTGCGTGATCGGCGGGGACGGAAGTCTCACGGGAGCCAACATCTTCCGGAAGGAGTGGAACGGACTTCTGGAAGAGCTTGCTGAGAATGGTACGGTTTCCATTTCTGTTTCCGCTCCTGTTACTGCCTTTCCCTGAGCTGCCTGCTTCACATTTCCCTGTCGGCGCTTTTCAGGAGCTTGCAAAGTCAAACGTGTGCCTTCTTTAAAGGAATACAAAAGGAGTTATTTATAATTGGCACGAGCATACATACTTTCGAGTCAACTCTTTATTTTTAATTTGATTTTAGTTTTTGGGACTTTGTCTCACTAGACCAGACTGGCCTTGAACTCACAAGTGTACGGGCCTCCTGGATGCTGGGGTTTAAAGGCGTGCACCACTACACCCAGTGCCATTTCATTTTCAGCTGTGGCCAAGTTGTGGCTGTGGTTTTATTTCAGGATTTGGCAGCACAAGATTTGAATCTGTACCTCAGATGGGAGCAGTAGTAACAACAAACCCCTCATGTGCTCAGCCTATGGACCCCTTATGGCAGCAGTCATATACACCCCCGTTTTCTAAGTGGGGAGACTCAGAGGAAGCCAAGCAGCTGTGACCATGGTCTGGGTGCATACCAACCCTTGGGTGCCAACACCCACAGTTCCAGCTATCATACTGCATTCCTCCTGCTATGCTGGACATTTCCAGACCTACAGTTACAAGAGTTTAGTTAGAAGATGCTGATCTGGTTTCACTCATTTTTTTATTTTAAAACGCTTTTGTGTTGCTTAGGAATGAATGTCTGAGAACTCCATATGAATTGTTGTCTCTATTTCTTTAATGCTGTTAATATATAATTCCAGTTCTGTGTCAAGTATAGCCAGCAAGAATTTGTCGCTCAAACAACAACTCGTGAAAATTGGAAGCTTTAGATAAAGCTTCATTAAATTTCATTAAAACAAACAAACAAACCTTCCAAATCTATCTCTGTGAATTGGTAGCCAGTTTGGTATACAGAGGGAGTTCTAGGACAGCCAAAGCCACACAGGGAAACTTGTCTTGAAAAAGAAACAAACAAATCTACTTAGGAAATCGAGCAGAAAGACCTTACTCCATGTTTTCATTCGCCAGCCCACTGGTGATCATGGATGAAGGCCTAGGGACACTTCCCTACCCCACCCCCGCCCTACCCCCACACTCTTCTAATTTCATCTGTGTAGAACTACCACACAGGGTGTATTTATCCTGTGAGGTATGCTAGCTGCAAACATACTAACCAGTGTCATAAACATCTTTAAGAAATCTATATGAAGGTGACCATACATTTCTAAAGTACTTAATTAGGAAATTATGATGTGCCCTTATTGAAAATCATTATCTTCCAAAGTCACTGCTAAGAAACTTAAGTATTTATCTTAAATTGAAAACTTTGGATTTTTAAATTTTATAATTCAGTGTCCCGTGCCAATTTACATTTTGTGTAATTCCTTCTGTCTTCTCCTAGTTTCTCTTTCCTTCAGGGTGCTGATTCAGAGTGTGTATAGTTCTGGGGAAATTAATAAAAAACCAAACTTAACAGGCTTGATGTCTATACCACAGCCATTGCTTTTTACATCTGGTGGAGCACAAGGAGGCGTGGAGGCTTTTCCTGGGTGTGACGTGCATTTCTTGTCTCCAATGCAGGCGAGATCGATGAAGATGCAGTTCAGAAGCATTCCCACCTCAACGTGGTAGGCATGGTGGGCTCCATTGACAATGACTTCTGTGGCACAGACATGACCATTGGTACAGATTCGGCTCTGCACCGAATTATTGAAGTTGTTGATGCCATCATGACCACTGCCCAGAGGTAAAAGGACTCACAGAAACTATTAGGATATAACTGCTGACTTCTGCCCATTCCCTAGATAACATATTAGTAGTAGTCTCCGTGTGCTTATGGGAGAGGAACTAGAAAACAGAAAGAAATAATAATAAACAATGCCAGAAGCCCCGCCCCCTTCTACCAAGGGTCATTTCATAGAATAATAACAAAAGAGAACGATTTCGTGAGTTTGTCACAATTGTTAGTGGAGTGAGACATTATAGAGTCACTTAGGATTCTCAGCTACAGACAACTGGAGTGTGAGTAGGACATTAACAGTTCATCTGCAGTGATATAGACTGACAAGGAGGCATTACAGAGTCCTGGAAGCCTTTGCAGGAAAAGCATGTGAAATATTAAGTCGGACAGGTCCTTTTGTATTGTGAGTTGGTAGCTTGACACTTGGAACGCTGGAACAAGCATTATTGAGGGAGGCTGGGGCTTCATGGGTTCCTTTGCATATGTGTCTGGACCTTACCTGTTCTCTGTCCACTGAACTCTGTGACACTGGAAAATCACATCACCTCTCTAGGACAGGAAGGATGATTTAGGGCAATTGGGATTTTCCATTGCAAGGAAAGGTAGTCATGTGTTGATGGAGCTGGTTTGTAGCATTCATGCTCATGTGTTTACACGGATACAGGCAGCCTTTGGCTTCACTTTTCCTCTGTAGAACAGAACTCCCAACTTCATGGCCTCTCCAGCTCTGAGATTACAGATGAGTCTGGCCAACCCATGGCTTTAAGAAGAATCCAGCGTAGTTAAAGGGTGATACTTTTTAGAAAAAGGCACAGGAAAGCACCTTCCAAGTATAAAGAAGTCTTGGGGAACAAGGGATGGATGTACACTATGTGACTAGCGGCAGTACCAAGGATGTGATTTAGTTCACATAGTACTTGCCTAGCATTCAGGAAGCCCTAGGTTTGTTTTCCAGTATCACGCAGCTAGAGGTGATGGTGCATGCCTGTAGTCCCAGCATCTTGAATGTGGAGACAGAAGGGTCAGAACTCTCTATGTACCTACCCTTGGCTACACAGAGTTCAAGGTCAGAGTGGGATATAGGAGAGCACATTTTAAAAAACAAAACGCCCCCAGTGCAGTTATTGAAGCATCATTACCCCTTAGGTCTAAAACACTTGCAGCAGAGCTTGCTTTTTATAGAAAATGAGTCAGCTTTTGGAAGCTTGGTGCCAGGCATAGTTGAGAAAGCAGGCTTTCTGTCTCTCTTGGCTGTAAGAACACTTTCTTGCTGTGAGTGGTAACATGACCCTTTATCATTTTTCTAGCCACCAGAGAACCTTCGTCCTAGAGGTGATGGGGAGACATTGTGGGTAGGTATTTGCAGGTATCTGGTAGGTACAATCCTAGTGGCATCTGTGTGGGTGTCCCACATTGTGCTGTGCACCATGCATTGTAACAGAGGGCAGTCACACAGGACAAAAAAACCTCCTGCAGGATATCAAGGGCCAGAGCTGCACAAGGTTGTCTCTGAGCATGGGTAGCACACTAGTCTTGCAAGCAGGGTCCTTCCTCTCTGTGTGTTAATGACTCTTTTTCCCACACAGTTACTTGGCCTTGGTGAGCGCCTTGGCTTGTGGTGCCGACTGGGTGTTCCTTCCAGAGTCTCCACCAGAGGAAGGTTGGGAGGAAAGCATGTGCTTGAAACTCTCTGAGGTAATTGGGAGTCTGGATATGCTGCTCGAGTAAGGATCCACAAGACCTTTTGGGGTGGCCAACTTGGATGGCTTTGTTTAAACACTTAAAAACTTGCTGCTCATAAAACAAGGTCAAGCCTGTTGCTGAGGACCCACCTACGTAGGCTGTTCCTGTATGGTTCTCTGTCTGGTGTTGCCATGGAGAAACAGCTGGAACTGTTGACTGTCTTTCATTCAAAGCAGTAGTCCTGTTTCTAGGTGACTCTCACACCATGAGATGAGATCATGGTGGTTAAATGAAGTCAGGATTACAGAGAAAACTCTTGTTTGCTATTCGAGACTTCCTCATCACTGAACTCAGATGTGCAGTGGACTCTTTGGTTTTAAATATTGCTCCTCCTTCCTTGCAGTATAGTGTGAGGTTTTGTGACATTTCTTTCCACAGTGTGTGGGGATTTTTAGGGTCTTTTTTTTCCTATCCATGGTCCTCTCTTCTCCTGTCAGGAGTATGTCGTACATTGTCTTTCCCAGTACAGTTGCTTATTAGGGTGGGGTGGATAGCCCCCTATGAAGACCTAATATAAACAGTGTGGGAGAGCTTCTTTAAGAGCATGTGTAGCTTTCAGGGCAGAGATATTCATAAGGACGTTACTCTTCTCGCCCTTAGTTTCGAAGCAACCTTCTCACTATTCTACAAGAAAATTATGTAAGCATTATATCACAGACCAATTTTATTTATAGCCAGCAAGCACAGAAGCCTGTCTAGGAAAGGCTGTGTGTGTATAGGGGGATAGAGGGTGGGCAATAAAATGTTGCTTTTGAGTAACGGTGTCAAAGGAAGCTAATAATGGAAATTGTGAACCAGATAGGTTTTGCTGAAATAAAATCCTATGTGGAATGATATTGATTGAAGTTATAGGGAGAAAAATGAGATTCAGCATCCTTAACTTGAAATAAGCCACATATAGTAGCCAACGTGCAGCTATTGCCACTGAGAGGGAGTTTCATCTGCTTTGGTCCTGCCTGATCTGGGGGACATTAGCAACATCCTTAGATGCCTGGCCCCATGAGATGAGATGAGAGGTGGCATTCCCATATACTGGTTCTTTTGTATGACCCAAAGACTGGATTACCACCACACAGGACAACTCTACATCCTTAGAAGTCGTATCTGGTCCCCTCATGTCTTCTTCCTGACTTCCCTGAAGCCTGATTACACAGTGAATTGTCACAGGTCACAGATCCATAGGCAATGAGTCAGATCCGGAAGACTGTAGGAGCTTGGCTGGCAGGAAGTACGGAGTCCGTCTATGTGGCCAGAATGGTCATTCAGTTTGTAGATATTCACTTTAGATTTAAGACTGTTTCTTCATGTCATCTCATCTGTAAGCCTCCTTAGACTCTAGACTTCATACACTGTGCTCTTAAGTAGGACAAGACCAGGATACAGAGCTTTCCATTCCTGCAAGTTTTGGCTGAGTTAGGGCAGAAATGTTTGATATCTTTGTACCTGTCATTTGCTTTTATGGGTTAACAATAAAATACTGCAAGAAGTTTACTCAACATTTTAGAAGATTACCTAGCCTGAGAAACAATCTCCACAATATGTAAAATTATCAGAGCTTTACAAGGCTACAGATTGGCTGGATATTGGCTGTACCACTAATTGGATAACATTGATCAAATAACCTCACCTTTCTTTATCCAGATGTGCTCTTCTCTTACATGGAAAATCATAATCCTTAGTTATTTTGTGAAGGTCAGTGGATCAATTCAGTCTAGATAACAAACATGGCGGCACTCACTAAGTTGTTGTGGCATGGCGCCTATCTTCCTACTTAAATATACTGAGGGGTCCATTGTTGGTGTGTGTATTTCCCATATATGTATGTTCATGTGTGTGCAGGTACATATGTGTATAGAGATATTGTAGTTTGTTTCTCTTTTGCTGAAACACTAGACCAAAATGAACTTTGGAAGAGAAGGGTTTACTTTCACGTACAATCTGTCATCTAGAGGAGCTAGGGCAGAAGCTCAAGGCAGAAACCTGGAGTCAGGAACTGACGCAGAAATCATGGAAGAATGCTGTTTGCTGGCGTGCTTCCTATGGACCATATTCAACTAATTTTCTTACTCAGGTCAGGCCCACTTGCTCAGGTATATAAGGGATGTTATGGCCCACAGTGGGAATAGCCCTCCTACCTCAACTAGCAATCAAGAAAATGCCTTTGGGTCTTGTTCAGACACTGCCTACCTTTTTTCTCTTTTGAAGAAAATTTCTAATTGGCAAATCTCAGGGATCTATCTACCTTCTGTCTTCATTTCTCCAGTTCTAGAGTTATAAGTTACATTATTTCTCTCCATCCTTTTTTTTTTTTTTTCTTTTGTTTAACGTGCTCTGGGAATCAAATTCAGGTCCTTGTGCTTGTAAAGGCAGGTATTTTACCAAAAGAGCTGTTTCTGCAGGCTACAGATTCCAGTGTCTTTTAATCACTTCAAAATATTGTGTTTTATGGCTGACGCATTTCCATTTACCCGTCCCATATTTATGGACATTGTCCTTTCAAGTAATGCTAAGGTAATCACCCTGTTCTCATATCTTTATACTTTAAAAAAGGGGTTTCTTATCAGCACATTGTTCAAAGCATGGCACATTTCACAGCAATCACAAACAAGAACAAAATCTTTATTTGTCACTTTGATGTCACACACCTCTGATCCGTATCAGCATGTTACTTGCTGCCCTACCTTCAGGCATGGTCAGGGCCCCACACACTTATCACTGACCTTGTCTAAGGGAGCATATTTTGTTTGGGACTTTATAGAAAGCAAATCCATTGAGAATGAGATAACCCACGCCATGATATAGTTGCCATGCACACTTAGTCTTATCTTAGCCTTGCATGACCTTTTGAACTAATGTAAGACAGTGTATGAGAGGATGAGTTCATAAGACAGTGTACCAGAGTGTGAGTACACAAGACAGGGTTCCAGAGTGTGAGTAAACACAATAGGCACTAGAGTATAAAATGGAAAATAAGGGTAATTGTTTTAGAGCCTTTATATGGACTCTGTGTCTGTTAGATTTCTGTTACTGTAGTAAACATCTGAGCTAAATCAACTGTAAGGGAAGTCATTTACTTTGTCTCCTGATCTTGGAGGTACTGGCCCAGGGTTGGTTGAACCTGTGCTGCTATCATGAATCATGTCAGGGTTACAGGACAAAAGAGGCTGTTTAACTCATGGTGGCCAGAAAGAAAAGAAAAAGGAAAAGGAGGAGAAGTGTCTTAGTTAAGGTTTCTATTGGTGTGAAGAGATGCATACCATGACCTCAGCAACTCTTTGACAGGGAATGTCTTCTGTGTATACGTTTGTCTTATTGGTTGATGAATAAAGCACTGTTGGCCAATAGAGAGACAAGATGAATGAGACTAGGAGAGGAGGAGGATTCTGGGAAATGTAGGCAGAGTCAGTCACTATGTAGGATACGAGAGGAGTTAACAAGTAAGATAAGACCACGTGGAAATACTTAGATTAATAGAACTGGGTTAATAATTTAGACAGAGCTAGCCATAAGAAGCCCAAGCCAACTACCAACAGGTTCATAATTAATGTAAGTCTTGTGTGTTCATTTGGGGCTGATGCGGCAGTGGGCCCAGGCTGGTGGGAAGAGTTATTGTAACAACTCTTATAAAGGAAAACATTTAATTTGGTTGGCTTACAGTTTCAGAGGTTTAGTCCACTGTCATAATGGTAAGACATGGTGGTATGGAGGCAGACATGGTGCTGGAGCTGAGAGTCCTACATTTTGATCTGCAGGCAAAAGGAATTGAACTGAACTCTAGACTAAGTCTGAGCATAGGAGACCTCAAAGTCTGCCCCCACAGTGACATGCTTCTTCCAACAAGGCCACCCCTTCTAATAGTGCCACTCCCTTTGAGCTAATGGGGCCAATTATATTCAAACTGCCACAAGTAGGGATGGGGTCATAATAACAACCCCCCCCCCAAACACACCCAAAACATTCTGCCGATTATCTAGTCTTCTCCCACTAGGTTCCATCTCTTATATTCTATTTTTTTTTTTTTTTTTTGGTTTTACGAGACAGGGTTTCTCTGTATTGTTTTGGAGGCTGTCGGTCCAGCCTGGCCTCGAACTCACAGGGATCCGCCTGCCTCTGCCTCCCCAGTGCTGGCCACCACTGTCCGGCCCATCTCTTATATTCTTACCCATTTGTTCCATGGGCTGGGGACAATTCATGGGCCTTGTGACATTCCAGTATCCTTTCCTGATTTCTTATTTGTGACCCAGCTGTCAGCTGCCATGCCTGTGTACAGTGTTATCTAATATTATAGGGAAGAATTGTCGGCTTAACAAGACTAAGTTTAAGGAGGTCCATGGGGAGATGAGAAAAAGCTCAACATAAAGGGAACAGAAAACATGGTTTGGGGCAGGGAAACTGGGAAAGTCCTGCCTGTGTTTGCTCACTGTCAATCTACATGTCTATGCACCCCACCTTAGCCCAGGGCTAACTGGGGCCAAGTTCTCAGGTGTACTTGTAATGTCCCTAGACTGCTAATGCCCTCAGCCCTTACAAAGGTACCTTTCACCTACTTTGGGGGTTACTGAGAAACACTCCAATTAGGCAATGCTTTCTACCTGGAAAGAAGCCATTTCCATTTAGGATACATTTCTCTGTGTTTGTTGTTATTAAAAACATTATACATTTTAGGAGTTTGAATTTTCTATTTTCCTTAGAACCGTGCCAGGAAAAAGAGGCTGAATATTATCATTGTGTCTGAAGGAGCAATCGATAGCCAAAATAAGCCAATCAGCTCTGAAAAAGTCAAGGAGGTAAGCATGTGTGACGCCTCACCTTTGCTCTGCTGCCCGTCTGGGCATCACAGTTCTCAGCATGATCGATAGGACTTAGATTTAGAATATTAACTCAACTTTCATAACATGGAGAACATGAAGCTTAAGAGCTCTGGACAGCCAGCATTTCTTGTCTCTAGTAGTCCTAATGGCTCCATGAATAACAATAGAGAAGACAGTTGAGTGGGTAAGCATGTTCTTGAGTTAGAAAGGACCGGCCCTTAAGCAGACTTTGTACTGAAGGTAAGGAGTCTTGACGGCTTGGCAGCCAGCACAGTCTGGGGGACTTCTCTGTTTGGAATGATAGAAAAGGACATGTCAGATTTCCCCTCTAATTTCCTTCTAACCTGGAGCATCAGCTGATCACATTCCCATCAATAAAACTGCCTAGTTGGCTGTGAGTCACTGATTCCTTGTGGCCCTGAGGAAGGGCGGGGTCTGGCGGGCGCTGCTCTGCAACTCCTTCAGGCTGGTGCTTACCAGTCTCTACAGGACTTTGACACACTAAGATCTCAGAATCACTGAGCAACACAAGCTAGGCTGTCTTGTTACAGCACTGAGTCAGGGCCCACAGGTATTACTAATCTGTTTCTACAAGTCTTCTTTTTCCCTTCCTTCCTTCCTTCCTTCCTTCCTTCCTTCCTTCCTTCCTTCCTTCCTTCCTTCCTTCCTTCCTTCTGCTCCTGCCTCCCTCCCGCCTCTCTCTTTCTTACTTTTTAAAAAATTCTTGCTAATTAGCCTTTGTTGGACTCAAACTGGCCATCCTCCTGCCTCCCCCTCCCAAATGTTAGAATTGCAGGCATGAACAGCATACCATGTCTTACTCATTGTCTTTTGCATGTAGTGCTTATGACTAGTACGCATGAGCTCATGTTTCTGGCAAGTGCTTTACCATTGAGCCACACCCCACCCCCCAGCCCTTATAAGTTGTTTTTTTTTAATCATTGTTAAGTTATGGTTATTTAATGAGCCAAGCTCATTTTTTATTGACTCCAGTATCAGATCAGCACCTCAGCATTAAATCATCAGTAGGTGTCAGTAAGAGATATTCAGCAGTATTGCTGATCGCTCTCTGTAAAAGCAGGACAAGGGTTTTTTTCTCACTGAAATAAAATTAAGATGAGCTCCAGCAATACCAGATCAAGAAGTGTGAACAGATGGATGTAGGTGGCTCTATTATATATACAGGGGATATTTTACTAGTCTGAGTGTGGCGATTCTTGTCCATAACCCCCAAACCCAGGATACTGAGGCAGGAGGATTGTTAAGTTCAAGGCCAACCTTGACTGTGTATTCTGCTTCAAGGAATCAAAACAAACAGCAGCAACATGAAAAAGATTTTACTTGACAGTGAAACCATTATTTGAAAAAATAAATTTTAGAATTGTTGCAAGGAGAAATGAAGCAAGCATCAGTTTTAACATTGACATCTGAAGACCAAGTAGAGGTCCCTTTCTCAGTGTCAGTACCCTATGACCACACCTAGCTGCTAAAGCCACAGTGAGGTCTGTTTGGTTCTTTGTTTTCTGATGGACATCTTTCTCCACAGCTTGTGGTGAAGCAGCTGGGCTTTGACACCCGGGTGACCATTCTTGGACATGTGCAACGAGGAGGGACACCTTCTGCATTTGACAGGATTTTGGTAAATGGGGATGGAAAGTACTGGGCATTTTCATGGAGGCTTCCTAGAAAGATACTCAGGCTGACCAGCAGCTTCATCTCCCGAGACAATAGTGGCCCATGTTCTTATTTAAAGGTCCTTTGGGACTTATTGACATAGGATGATTTCCTGGGCTGAGGACACAGCTGACGTGGGATGTCAGTATGTCTACTGATAGGGAAGGCATGGGTGCCAGGAGAGTCCAAACCCTAAGTTCTCAGTATTACCTGGTAGTTGTTACTGGAGTTAAAATTTTATTGTTACAAAGATGAGCAGAGATAAGCAAAATAGAAGCAGGTACAACCCCTACTGAATTACTGTTTCACAGCATAGAAAGCAGGCAGAGAGTGAACCCTGGGGTGGTCTCTGGCTATGCATACAGTGCTTCTGGAGCATAGGATGAAGGTCTCACTATCTTTAGTGTTTGTGATTATCATTTGCAGGCCAGCCGCATGGGGGTGGAAGCTGTCGTTGCCTTGCTGGAGGCTACCCCTGAGACCCCAGCTTGTGTGGTGTCGTTGAGAGGAAACCAAGCTGTGCGCCTGCCTCTGATGGAGTGTGTGCAGATGGTGAGCTTGGTTCTGGGTGGGCATGGGCATTGGATAGGCTACCTACAGGAACAAGCGGGTGCTTCTAACTGTGTGGTCTGCTTCGGACTCAGTGGAGTGCTGGGTCAAGTGGCCTTTTGGAAGGCAGAATGATATGCCCCACGGATGATGGCAGCAGGCCTCCTGCATCACTGTCTAGTGTGTAAAAACATCTCCTTCTTTTGCTTCTTTTCTTTTGCCACCCATGAGTCATTTCTAGTGGTCATCTCTCCTAGCGACGAGTCTTCTCCACTAAGAACTGGTAATGAGTTGGTGACTGTTTCCTCCTACAGTCACAGATGGTTCAAGTAGCCTCTATGCACCAAGAACACCAAGAGTGAGTGTAGGGCCGGGCAGTGGTGGCACGCGCCTTTAATCCCAGCTCTCGGGAGGCAGAGGCAGGTGGATCTCTGTGAGTTCGAGGCTGGGCTGAAACAATACAGAGAAACCCTGTCTCATAAAAACCAAAAAAACCAAAAAAAAAAAAAAAAAAAAAAAAAAAGAATGAGTGTAGGAAAATGGTCCTGCCAGTAGCTGGTGCTGTAGGTGTGACATGCCCAAGACCCTCCAGTTTTGTTTTCTGTACTTTGTTCCTGAGGACATTCTGATCAGTGATAGGACCTTGACATAGATCCCAGTAATGTTGAGATAGCCCCACTCTTTCAGGTGTGTCTACTGATAGACGAAAGAAAAATGGATTCTGCTTTTCAATTCAGTTTCTCAGATGCAGTGCCAGTGGTGCTTGTTGCATTAGAAACTGCTATTTTCATTTTTCCAATTTTTTTTTCATGAAATGGTGCAATGTTTAGGCTTTTGGATGATCCTGACATGTGTATCTTTTATAATACACACACACACTCACACTCACACACACACACACACACACACACACACACACAGTGTGAGTGTCAAGGTACTTGTTGAAAGTAACCTTATCTTAATTCCCAAATAGGGATGAAGACAGTATGTATACATATGTGTGGTGATCTGTGTGTATGTGTGTTCCTGTTTATTCTTGGGAATGGAAGGACAAAAGAAGTCTCTAAAACTGTATGAGAGGTGATAGGTTTAAAAGGCTAAAGCCCTGATCTATGTAGGTTTCTTTGGAGCTAATGGCTTCTCCCTGTGCCTGTGTTCACTGTGGACCTTGGATTACTTGTATCTTGCCTGATATTCAAATAATCACTAGAGGTTTCATAATAAACAACTGCAGAGAGCCACTTGTGTAGAGCCAGCAGTTAACTGAGGCATCTGGGATGTTCATCCCTGAGCTCTGTCTTGACGCTGCCTTTGTCCCTCTGTTGCCCTCGGGCACCTGTGAGGCACACTGGAATCCTCAGCAAGTCAGTGAGCTAGCTGTGTTTCCTTTTTCCTTAACTGAACTGAATTGAGCATTAATCAGATCCTCTCCTAGAAGACCCATTTCCATGAACCTGGCTTTTGTGGAAATCAATCTTTTAGATCTTGAGGCCATGAGCAGCAAGAGTCCTCTTTTCTTTGAGGCTCTACCTTCACAGATGGGTACTGCCATGTCAGCTGTTAATTCGGGGGCCAGCAACAATCCAATGGGATCAGACTGTGAAGGTTCAGTCTTAGAGCATCTGAGGCTTGATTCATTCTTTATTCCTTTTTTTTAAAGACCCAGGATGTACAAAAGGCAATGGATGAGAGGAGATTTACAGAAGCCGTAAAACTCCGAGGGAGGTGAGTTATTGCGAGTAAAACTCTACTAGAAATTCAGGTCCTTGTTTGATGATTGAGACTGTACTTGGTCGCAATATAAAAATTTAAGAGTTTGGGCTGAGGAGATGATGTTTCAGCAGTTTAGGGAACAACCTAAGATCAGTTACCAGAACCCATGTGTCTTAGTTCTTAATTGGGGTAACTCCAGCTCCAGGGAAATTTGATGCCCTATTCTGGCCTCCACAGGCACTGAACTCCTGTGTACAAACCCATATTAAATTAAAACTAAATTGCCGTTTTTCTTTAGGAGTTTTGAGGGAAACCTGAAGACCTACAAACGTCTTGCCATAAAGTTGCCTGATGACAAGATCCCCAAGGTAGGTAGCCAGCTTCCATTAATGACCCAGTCTTCTGAGTGGCCCAGGAACCTTTTAGCCTCGTACCCCATTCAATGAGGATCCATGAAAACCCATCTTCACCTTTCCATTGTGGCCTTAATGGTCACTTCCTGCTTCTTCTAAGTGTGTAACAAAAATGGGAGCTTGCACTCATCTGATGACTTGATACTGCCCTGTTCTGTTTTCAGAGCAATTGCAATGTGGCTGTCATCAATGTGGGGGCACCTGCTGCTGGAATGAATGCAGCTGTGCGCTCTGCTGTTCGAGTCGGGATTGCAGATGGTCACAAGATGTTTGCCATCTATGATGGCTTTGATGGCTTCGCCAAAGGCCAAGTGAGTCTCCCAGGAGTCCCTCGGGAAGTGAGAATATTATTGTACATGCGGAGGCTAGACTCCTCCCCCCCCCCCCAGCACCTAATTATGGTGGTGGTGTGAGCAGACCAATAACGGAGTTGAGGGGTTATCTTCTGCTTAGGAATCCTGCCTTAAGTCAGGTTGTAAGCCTTTACAGAAAGCTCAGGGTATCACTTATTTTCAGATTTCCTCAAAAGACACCAAGGCATGGGGTGATCTGTTGATGCTCACCACACAGGCTGTTAAGTTTGGATGGAATGGATAAAGCACATGGTGTATACCACACATTAGAACACTCTAAAGCCTTAATAAAAACAATTCTAGGCTGGGATGTACCTCAGCAGTGGAATACTGAGTGCATGTAAGGCTGTGGGTTCCATCCCCAGCACAGGCACAACAACAGCAATCAGCAAAGGTCTGGAGCATTCACTGATTTCCTTTTGCTGCATGTGATTTGCGTACATTATCCCTTAGGACTTTATGCAACGTCTAAATTCCTAGTACCATTTTCTTATGAAAGAAGCAAAGAACAGAAACATTGACTGACTTCGATTACTTCTCATGATGTAGCGTTTGAAAGAGGATGGTGAGGCATGTCTGTTCTCTCAACCCAGAGCTGCTGTAGTTGGTAGCATGTCAGCAGGTTGGAGATACCAAGTTGGGGGATGTCTGTAACTTACTTAAAGACCTCACCAGGATGCATTAATAGTAAGAGATTCAACAAAAATCACATGGCTGTAAGCTGTGAGACCTGGAGTTGGGCCCACTGTGTACTGTTCTGTGACTAACTCATGCCTTACCTAATATGGGAATCGCCCCCTGTTACCTATACTTTACCTGCTTAGCCAAATGGTGTTTATGTTTCTCCCTTTACTCTCTTCTTTGCCTTTAGTGCTAAAGTATTTTAACCTTTACCACTTTAAAAATGATTATTCATTTTTTTTTACTAGTGACAGATTCTGGTCATCTAAGGCGTCCACCCAGGACACATGCTTAGGGTTAGGGTGTGAATTTCCCCTACAGGCAGGGAAGGAATAGTTTTGCTGAGGCTCTGAGTTGTGTTTAGCCTTAGAAGGACACGCCATGTCTTGACTGAGTCAGCACCTCAGAAGGAAACAGATCCACAGCCTTACCCATCTCTGTGGGACCCAGCCTCTGAGAGAGTTTCAGAACCTTCCATTCCTGCCCTTTCTTCCTCATTTCAACTCTTTTGCTCTCTTTTGGAAATTTAGGTGAAAGAAATCACCTGGGGAGATGTCGGAGGTTGGACTGGACAAGGAGGGTCCATTCTCGGAACAAAACGGTAATTTCTAAATTTTAGCCCTTGAACAAGTTATTTTATTTTCATCTTATGTGTGTGAATGTTTTGCCTGTATGTATGTCTGTGCACCATGTGAGAGGGCATTAGATGACCTAGAATGGGAATTAAAGATGGTTGTGAGCTGCCGTGTGGGTTCTGGGCACCAAAACTCAGTGCTCTGCAAGAGCAGCAAGTGTTCTTACCTGTTGAACAATCCAACAATCCTTAACAAAGAAGGGAAAAGCAACTCCTGGAGTCTGTGGCTAAATAAATGTAGAGTGTATAGAAGCCTCTTATATGTTTCCTGCAATGAATACCTAATGAACACCTGTCTGCCATTGCCCCAGGAACTCATTCAAGTCTTAGGTAGATCAGTGCTAGGAAAGGGAGGCAGATTTGGCACGGATATGTGCCACACTGGTTTGAGTGTTTGCCTACCACGCATAAGGCCTTAAGTTCAATCCCCAGTACTCTAAAATGAGAAGTCAAGTTCCTGGTGGACTTTTCCATTAGTTCCATATTTCCATTTATTTGAAGAGCAAAAACAATACATGAAAAGCTTATGTCCCATTCTGGTCTTGAGAATGAGTGATTATGAAGCTGCTATTAACTGTGCTATTATGTGAGCAAACGCTTATCTCAGCATTGCAAGAGAAGTGTGGTGTGTCTGGGTATAACAGAACTGAGCCACACTGTGACTCCAAGCTAAATTGCACAGCTAAAGAAATTACCTGAGTATTTTTAAAGTAAAATCATGTTTTTCTGACTTACAAAATCCTTCAGTTATATACATAGCTAGGATTAAGGCATTCTAACAAAGTGTGTTATTTTGGGTCCAACCCTGTTTTATCTTTAATTATTTTCATGATGCAAGTATTAAGTTCAGCCATTATTTGTAACTTACTTTTTTATTTATTTATTTATTTATTTTGTGAGGAAGGAAAGTAGTTCTTAGGTATTGGGCTCTATATCACTGTGGCATTCTAGCCTGAGGAGACTTAAGCCAACTTTTTTTTGCTCACTTCAAAATCAAGGTTCTGGTGCCAGCTAGACAGGTGGGGATTCTACATGGTGGCTTCGCAGTCATCTGGATTGTTTTCCTGGGTGACATGGTATTGATGCTTTGGATGGCAAAGCCCCATTAGACTGATGGTGATGCAAATAGACTCTTAGGCAGAGAGACTGATGTACTTCTTGTAAAGGACCCTGAGCATCACTCTTGAGCAGTGTGGGAGTGAGCTGATAGCTTGAGACACTTGCTGCAGATACCAGGTTTGCCCCTTGGGTATATTCACATGTCTGTTACAGTTTTCCATATTCCATCCCAATATCTATTTCCATATTCCAATAGCTTCACCTTAAACTTACATGTCTACCAACAGTGTGAATACTTCATTTTCTCCTTTGAGCATGAAAGAAAGGTTAGGGGTGGTTGTCAGGTGAAAGATTAGAATGGGGTATAAATCAGTTTCCTCTGCTTAGTGGTATCCCTGCTGACTATGTCATTTGAAATAGGTGACATGATAGAAGAGGAATGTGAGGGATGTGGTTTTGAAAGAAATTAAGTTGATATAAATATACATACATGCATATATATAATATACATTAAAGGAAATGTATATATCAGTTAACATGTATATATTATATATTTATATGCACATATTTATTTAAAATATATACATATATATACACATACATGTATGTAATTTGGAAAATGGAAATTTCTATGGAAATGATTTCTGTTAATATTATAAGCTAGCTGGGCAGTTGTGGTGCACACAGTGCGTGCCTTTAGTCCCAGCACTTGGAAGGCAGAGGCAGGCAGATCTCTGTGAGTTTGAGGCCACCCTGGTCTACAGAGTGACTTCTAGGAGAGCCAAGGCTACACAGAGAAACTCTGTCTTGAAAAAATGGAACAAAATAAAACAAAATTGTAAGCTAATGTGTATTTTCTTTTTCCTTGTGAACCAGTGTAATTCTTTTTGGGTTTTATGAGTCAGGGTCTTATGTAGCTCAGTCTGTTTTGGAATTCACTATGTTGCCTGTAGCATAGGCTGGTCTTGAACTCAACAATCCTCCTGCCTCCACCTTGATTGTTGAGATTACAGGTATGCACTGGCACAGCTTGTTGAGGCAGCATAAGTCTCCTGGGGTAATGTTATTTCTGTTTGCCTGTCTGTCTCTTTGCCTTTTTATTTTTGGTGATAGGGATTGAATTTAGCACTTTATACATGTTAGGCAAATACTCTTATTGCTCTTTGGGGACATGATACCTTGCTGCTCCTGCCCTGAGTGATCATTCTCCAGGACTCTGCTGTTGTAGGTGTTGTCAACCGTGGAGGCATAGGAAAGTAGCCTAACTGCCCACTGTACCTTGCATGACGTAGGTGGGATATGGGAGATGAGACCCGATTGGGTGGGTAGATGATTTCCAAAAAGCTTGCCATCTATTGGGTGTCCTCTCAACTCTTGACCTGTTTGTCATCAGCACCCTACCTGGAAAGTACTTGGAAAAGATCGCCGAACACATTCGTTCCTACAGTATCAATGCGCTTCTGATCATTGGTGGATTTGAGGTATATTATTGTCTCTCTTGTTTCCCTACCTGTTGGCTTTGGAGTGTGATTGGTAGCCCCATGTTTGCTTCACATATTCCTGGTCTTATTGATCCTCAAGAACTACAATTTTAATACCCAACCCAGTCACCCTGTAATGTAGAATGTCAGGATAGTGACATATAGCACAAGACTGGCCCCTTTCTGATAAAGTAAATTAACCAGGCCAGCACAGGATGTTTTCTGATTTGTCATCAATCTGTAAATATAATTCCATACTTGGCATTTGATATACACTGATGATCTAGAAAGGAAGCTGGTTATATGGTTAGTTTCTCTCTTCAGATTTTTTAAGAAATCATTGTATTGGATTGTAGTTCTTAATTAAAAAAAAATTCAGTATTTTTGTCTGTATATATTCTTGCATGCCAGAAGAGGGCACCAGATCTCACTACAGATGGTTGTGAGCCACCATGTGGTTGCTGGGAATTGAAGTCAAAGAGCTACCAGTGCTCTTAACCTCTGAGCCATCTCTCCAGCCCAGTCCTTAATTACATCCCATTCAATGGGGATGAGTCTCACAGAAATCTTGATTTACTTGAAGACATGTAAGAACTTCACATTACATTCAAATTTTAAGAGAGTTATTTAGTCTTACTACTATATGCTAATACTACGTCTCCCCTTTGTGCCTAGGAAGTTGCTTGTCTTGTCTGCGTTCTTAACTCGCCTGTGTTGATTTTATTTTTTAATATTGCCTGGTCTCCTCACTGTACCCTGTGCACCCTGGTAACAGTGGCTCCCTGAGACTTTCCCATGCTTGTTCATTCCCAGTCACACAGTGTCCATGTCCCCCTCCCTCTCTCTGGCCCCACAATCACACACACTTGTCTGGCAGGCCTACCTGGGACTACTAGAGCTGGCAGCTGCCCGGGAAAAACATGAGGCGTTCTGTATCCCTATGGTTATGGTTCCTGCTACTGTCTCCAACAATGTGCCGGGTTCCGATTTCAGCATCGGGGCAGACACGGCTCTGAACACTATAACAGACGTAAGTGCGCGTGTGCCAGCAAAGCAGGTGCAGCTGATGTTAACCCAAGGCCTGGACCCTTTTATCTACCAGTGCACTAGAAGTAGCCTTTTACCAGCCACCAGCTGGTACCTAAGTATTTTTGTTTCAGGAAAGCATGCTTTAAAAGTTCTTTTGGACTCTGAAAGTCCTTGATCTAGTTTCCTCCTACCCCAGTTTGTTCCAAGGGCTCACCAAAGCAGCTGATAGCCTGGTTGGTGTCTCTTCATTACCAAGACCTGTGGAGTGACAGCCCATCCTAGCTCAAGCAGTGCTAGACCACTGTGTTTTCTGCTCTGATAATCAAGTAAATTTAGTGTTTTTAAGTTTTCAGCCTGTAGTCTCTTATTGCAGCTAAATCCTGTGTCCAACATTCTCTACTTGATGTTTAAGGGTAGAAATTGAATTAAGTATTTCATAATGTTATTTTCTGAACCATGTTGACACTTCACTGGATTTTTGGCTATGGTTGCTTCTGTTTTTCCCCCCTTTTATAAATTGGCAATCTTAAGTCAAAAATATTGATGCCTTCTTATTATTTTTCTTTTTGCAAAGAATAAGCAACGAAATACACATTTTCATGTTACAATTGTAAATTATACTTGTTAATTCCTATGGGAATTTAAGATCACTAAGTCAGAATTCCAAAAATTTTCACTAACTCTTAAGCTATTTTTCCTGGGAGACCTGATTCTTACACATATTTTTGTAGGGTTTTGATTTTTCTTAGGCTCTTGACATCAAACTCATTTCTAGTACTGGTCGATAAAAGCTCCAATGCTTTTCCAATAAATCACAGAGTGGTAAGTAACGCTTAGCACTCATTTCTTGCTTCTCTGAATGTCAGAAGCTTTCCTTGGCCTGTTTACTGCAGCCTGGTGTCTCCTGGAAGCAGCGTCTGTTTTATTTGTTTTCGATCACTAACTTCTCCCTTCTATGTTGCATGTGCTGCCTGGTGACTGTTGCTATTGCTATTGTTGGATTTGGACTCTAGATGGAGCCTCCTTTGTGACTGGGAAGAAGGGTGTTTATCACAAAACGCATTGGGACCTGGTGCTTTGTGCTTCTTAGATGCTGAATGCTAGTCTACAGTTTACATAGGAGGAATTCACAGGGGAAGCAATTATAGTGTCTTTTTCCAACCTCCTCGTCATCTAATTAAAAGCCCGCTTGCAAATGAATCTGACCAGTAGCCTGTGGATAGTGTGTGCCCTGGAGCAGTTGTGAAAGTGGCCTAGCCGAAAAGAATCATGAAGTCATTTGAAATACTATGTGAATTATTTTTGTCAATTATTTTTGGATACTCTTCCATGGTTCTTGAGCATGAACTTTGTAGATGACAACATCCTGTCAAAATGTTGAAAGATGGATGCTCCTGCATACTGTCATTTGCAGTTAGTGGGAGCCTCCGTACACACCAGTCAAGGTGGGTACTCATCTCCTTGTGGATATTCAGTATGCACTGCAGGCCTGAAGGAAAGATTCTCCCTTTTTATTAAAATATCTCCATACTGTACGATTCTTAGCTCCCATGCTAGTAATTGTTTTGTCCCAGACTTTAATATTTGATACATGCATAGTGCTGAGAATTTAAAACTCAAAATAGAGAGGAGAGAAAAAAGTTATCTACTCCCTCTTCCCTTTACTTCCTTTAGAGGGATTTGTGATGGTTTTTCTTTAATTTCTTCTTTTATTCATCTGAATTTCTCAAAGCCGCTAGTATGTGAGAAGGAAAACTGAATGGTTGGTAGGTAATCATTCCTGGGGACTTCAGGCCTGCTGATGTGTGGTAAGTAGGTGTGTGTGTGTGTGTGTTCTTTGTTGCCTATTGCTTCTGAGGTTCCGGGGAGCTGGGCCATCTTGGTTCTGTGATTTCAAGGTGGGTGGCTGGCTGAAGGTGGGCCATTAAAGATAACGTCAGTGAAGGCTACTATTGCTCTGGAGCTGATAGCTGAATGAGGATGAGAAAAAAAAAACTGGAGTCCCGTTGTGTACCCTGCAGGTGAAAGGACTAGAATGTGAAGAGGCCTGAAGGCAAAATGGAAGTTAATTTTACAAGTTGGAAGTTGGACCTGAATTAGACTAGGCTGGTCACAAAAACGAAAGGAGGTTGACACTGTGTCTAGGACAAGAGGACATGAGGAGACTCTACCTTAAGGTCCCATTGCCTCCTGCCGCTGCATATAGGAAGCTCTTGTGTAGAGCTGGTAGGGAGTTGAGAGCAGTTGCCTAACCTTACAGTGGAATTTAAGATAGGTGTCCTGAAGAACAGGTATCCACTAAGACACTTGTTTCTCTACACTCAGCTGTTTCTAGAGGATAATGGCCTCTTATGGACCCTGGATAACATCTAAACTTACTATCCATGGCTATCTCCAAGAACCAACTATTTCTTCAGTTTTGGAGAGTCAGGCAGGTCTCAGTTTTGAGTGATTATGCATCCAGTGGACAGTTGCATAGATGAAGGACATTTTGCATCATCAGAGGTAGAAAAGAGGAATTCCTAACATGTAGTGGGTGGAGGTCAGGAATGCTGTTCACTGCTTTATGGTGTTGGGGACAGTCCAGAATGTCTACTACCTAGAGGTGAGAAAACCCAGGCTTCTCCAGTTTGATTAAACAACATCATGGTTGAGTATTGATCATTGTTTTGACTAATTGCCCCCTCCATGCCAGCAATGATACTAACTAACCCTCTCCATTGGCACCTGCCCTCCTCATACACCCCTGACCCTACCCCGCCCACAGGGAAGACTGGTCTGCCAGGCATGTTGCCTATATCACTCTTTGACTCCAGTGGGAGGCTTCTCAATGACACAGCTTCTTTCTGTATATTTTGTTCCCAATAAATACCTAGCTAAAATTGTCCTCAACAAATGAAAACTCTTTCTTAGAAAGTTCTGAGGAGCCTAGCAAATGTGTGGGGGCATGGGCCCAGTTGACTTTGACATAAGATATGGTTTTGAATGCAATTAATTGTAACAGCCACAACCTTAACAAGGAATGGTTGAGCACATGGAGAGTAATGAAAACACTCAAAGTCAACAGGGGAGGAGGGGAAGGGTAGGTTGAGGGCTGGTTGTGTTGGAAACAAGGGAAACCCCTCCACTGGCCAGTGTTGGAGACCCTGTCTGACCTTTAGACTGATCACTCTAAGGACTAACTTACCACAGGTCCATGACCCACTGTCCAGAATCCTTGGAGCACACAGGATGATTTGCTTGCAGAAAGATGGTATAGAACATATATTCATTTCAGCTGCCTTGTGGGGAGGCAGAGTCCCATGCTACATTCTAACAATAATTCTGCGGCAATCTGTATTGATGATTATACTGAGAATGATAAATTAGATTTATGGGTCAGACATGCCACCCGCAGTGGTCTAAAAGTACCCTACCTTACTCTGGGAGCTGCCTGGATTTAAGGACTGTGGGTGAGTAGACCTGTATCCTACCACTAACCTGGCATTTAAACCTCTGTATATATATCAGCTTAGTAGACCTCTGTACAACAGACCAGACATTTCTAGTTGTCCTTCCGGAGTGGTGGCTGAGGTTCCAAATGATTTATCTTGCCAGCAAGGATGTCCCCTCTGTGAGGGAGACAGGAGTTTCTAATGGGGAGCAGAGGGACACACAGACACTAGCGTGGGTTCTGTGATAGACCTGCAGGTAATGTAAAGTGCATGTTTCTTTTCCTGTCAGCATTTGGCGGTGGTGCAGTGACCCCACTCAGCATCGGTGATACCAGTCATTTGATGTCATCCTTGCAGCCACAAGCTCCTCCCCACACTCCACCCTGAACTAAAGAAGTGTTGGGACTGGCTTTGTGCTTAAACAGCCCAACTTCATTTTCTTTCCCCACCTCCGCTGTAATGCCAAGAAAGGAGCAGGTGTCCCATCTAATGACTAACCCATGATGCACCTCTGCCCCCCTCTCCCCCCCTCCCCCCCCAGCGTGATGCCTGCTTTGCTGCCTGCTTTGCACCACCTTGACTCTGCCATTTGTATCTTCTTCCTGTGGGACAATAAGGACAAGGCTGAGGGATGCACCTAGTAACACATGAATAGTTGTGGCATGCCCTGCGCCTGCTCAGATGCCAACCCAGGCCTCTCATGGGCTCTGCTGACCCATGTAGACCAGCTCCCTTCCAGTTGCTTGGTTCCCACCCTGTCACATCCCTGGAGTTGCCATCTGTGCTCATTGACTTGGCAAGTGAAGTCCTGGCACCCCTCTAACTGCCATGGCCCTGCTGCTTCAGGCTTTCCATGGTGCGGCCATGCTGGCTGATGCTCGAAACAGCCACGAGGAGTTTTGCATCCCAGTATGTGTCTTGCCTGCCACTGTTAGTAACAGTGTCCCTGGTACGGAAGTATCTATCGGTACTGACACTGGCCTGAATGTGGTTGTCCAGGTAAGAGACTGCTTCCACTCACATTTTGCTTTGTTTGTCTTAATGATGTTTTTCTTCTGCCTGTCAGCTCCAGCTCTCAACTTGTGGCCTTTAACTTTTGCCTGTCTGGCCTTAATTAGAAGTTGAAAGAGAAACCCTCTCATGTTTTTCAGAAAGAATAAGCCAAAATATATCTTTACCTTTTGGCTACATTTTTGCTAATAGGATAGTGTTTCCTTGTTTCTCATGGTGAGCACCTTGTCTTTATTAACTCAAGATAAAATGCTCTATGCCGGCCTCTCCATAGTGTATCTGTGCCATCTGAATAGGAGAGCTGCGGACATCAATTCTGGTAAGGTCAGCTGCATCTGTCCAGTGCCCCCTTGTTAGAGTTGTGATGTCGAGGAGGGTTAGGGAACAAGTTGCAGGAGGAGCACAAAGAATCGGATCTAGACGTCCTGTAAGTAAGAATAAGAAGTCTCAGATTAAGCACTGTCAATATATCTGCTCAAACAAAGTGAGCCCCAGGCCATTGCTTGGAAAGATGAGAGGCTCTGCAGGCAACAGTCACTCTCTGAGAGCAACGTGGCTTTACTTACCACACACTGTGTGGGGAGATGGAGCAGCGGTACTGCTGGTGTGATGCTGGTATCTACGTTGTAACACAGGTAATGAACTGACTCACTAGGTGCTGCTGAGACAGGAGGCTGTCTGCTAGCTCCAAAGTCCTTTGCTGAAGGTAGTGGTTACAGCAGGAAGGATGGTGGTCAAACATGTGGGCTTAACTTCTCACCATGCCTAACTCCTCTTACCCCAACCCAAAGCCAGCAAGCTAGCTTCTTACCTAAGGTACTCACATCCAAGCTGCCTCTAGAGTTCTCAATCTGTGGGTCATGGACCCCAAAGGAGTCACATATCAGATATCCTACATATCAGACATTTATATTATGATTCATAACAGCAAAAACATACTCATGAAGTAGCAATCAGATAATTTTATGGTTGGTGGTCACTACAACATGAAGAACTATATTGGGGCTGCAGCATTAGGAAGGTTGAGAACAACTGCTCTAGAGTATGCAATGAGTTCTAACTGGTGGAGACATTCCTTAGATCTCAAGTTCTTTCTCCTAAGTTAAATTCCATAGCAGGAAAAGGGGGAGGTGCCCAATTGGGTCAAGCATCTGAATTCACCACTAAGATGTTAGAATGGGGCTCTAACAGGTTGCCATACCCTTGGGATCTCCCTTGAAACCTGTCTCTTGGTATAGCTTGAGTAACATGGAAGCTCCCCTGGCTCACACTCACCCTCCCTGGAGTTAATTTTCTTTGTGTGTTAAATAGAATCACAAACACGCCTCTAAATTGAACCCTACTCACTGAATGCCTTGGAGCTCAGGCACAGTCTGAGATTTCCTTTCTAAACACCTCTGTGAACAGGTAATATCACAGGCAGACGTCCTAGATCATCCAACATGCTTCAGCTTTCTGCCTTGGGCACTGGCTTCACTGACCAGGAAATGAGTACCAATCATTTCTCTGCCAGTTCATAGTAGGAAAGTACTCCTCCTACCCATTGCCAAGCTCCTTCCCTATCTGGCTACCTGGGTTCTTCAGTGAGTATTCTGAAGAAATACCAGTTATGGGGTCAGGGGCAAAGTAGGGAGGGAGCCTCTTAACATGTAAGACAGGATTACTCCCACACTAAATCCTATAAAATCTATTGATTTCTCTTGAAAAGAATTAGCTCTGTGGTAGGCTCAGCCTTATTGTCTTACCTTTCTTACATTTGGAAAAGACAGTGTGTATAGCAGAGCAACCACGATATATGAACAGTAACTTGACATTCTTCCTCCAGAAGGACTCCTTCCAGAGGAATCACCACTTTGTGCCTTGGAGCTCTGCGAACTTGGCTATGAAGCATTTATTCTATCATAAGAGGCATTATCTAACATAACCCTAAATGGTTCCTGCTCTCAGCAGAAGTCAGGGAGGCCCGTTAGCACATGGCAGATGGCATTGGTAGGCTGGCCCTTTCCATGTCAGTACTGCTTTTCGTAATTGAGTGAGACGTGACTAGGATGGCTTACTATTTTTAGAAGAAGCTAAGTGAAGTCTTCAGATGCAATCTGGGTAATGAGAGTATAGGAGGAGTGTATGTAAGCTCCAGGCAGAGGCAGACCATTCCAAACCCCTACTGTTGGTTTTCCAGCCAGTGGCAAACAGAAAGCCTGGGCTTTTCTTCCATGTCAGGTATAGTCTAATCAGTTTATTTTTGCTCCATCAACAATCTGTTTGGATCAGAGCTCAGACTTCTATATAAATGGGCCTTGTGTCCAAAGGCTTCTTCCTTAGTAATATTCTTGTATTGTCAAGTGACTACAGTATAGTTCTTTGAATTAGTAACCATTAGAAAGGGCATATGGGAAAGATTAAATTGGAAGAATAATCCATGTGGTTTTGCTCCCCTTGGGACTGGCCACCTGCCTCAGCACAGGCATTTGAATCTGCAGCTTTCCTTAACCTTGTAGGATGGCTCTGTAACAAAAACCACACAGGGAGTCTCTCAGCATCTGAATGTCCTAGAAAGAGGTTCAGTACAAGATTGATCCCTCTTCTGTGGTTACATCTCTCTTGCTAGGGAATTCGGGGCTTAAATACTTTTGGGCAGGATGACCTACAAGAGAAATTGCAGATTGGAATGCTTTTCATAAAACCTGTGTTTGTTCTTAAGCACGATCTGTTAAATATAACTCAAAGTAATCATGCAAAAATATCCAAAGACTCACTTTCTGCTCTTGCTAAAGACGTGTGACTGCTACAATCCAAGAGTCCCTTCTCCCATCATGATGTCACTGTCCTCTTAGCTCTGGACTGTTGACTGGTAGGGTGAGTAGCATGTGCACTTTTGTTTAGGATTAAGCCTCTACTGTGTTGCAGGCACAGCTGTCTGTGGAGGATAGTGAAGTGGCATTAGCCCAGTCCAGGGTTCCTGCCCTTAAGGAATGGCATCAGAGAGGAGGAAATACCCAAATCTAATAAGCACACATGGCAGGAGGACTGGGTGAAGAGAGGACACAGTCATGAGAGTCCCTACCAGAGGGACTATCCAGTCCTAGAGGTCACACAATGTCTTCCTGAGGAAATGACGTTTTAACTGGGACACAGGTCACAGATAAGAGGACAGGAAAGAGCCTGAGTGAGTTTCCTGTGGTTGTTGTACTAAACGGCTGCACACATGTTGACACAATACCCATTTTCTCACAGCTGTCAGGGGCAGAAATCAGGGAACTGAAGTCAAGCTGTGAGCTCCAGGAGAGAGGCTGTAGTGGCGTCTACTTTACTGACCTGCATCCCTGGCAGGCCATGACCCCTGACCTCTCTTCAGCCAGCATGAAGTTTTTCACTCCTTTGTATAGTGGTCTGTTTCTGTACCCTTCCTGGCTTCCTTTGCCCCCTTCACAATGACACACAATGGCATTCAAGGTTCTCTCAGATAATCCAGAATAATCCCATCTCTAGACCTTTTACTTAATTGTGTAAGAGAATATTCATGGTGTTCCAGCAAATGTGAATGGGATACCTTTGATGACTTCTGTGTCTAGTTTTCTTAGCTGTGCCTGGAGTCTACTGTGTCTGAAGGTCCCATAGAAACTCAGACAGTAGCATATCCTGCGTTAGGACAGCAAATAGAACCGAGACTGGGCAGGGTGCTGGGCATTGGCAGGGCTGCACGTTCCATAGGAAGGCGCTGATGCATACTTAAAAATTCAGGACTGAAGGGTTTGGAAGAGGGCAAGAACACACTCTGGTTGGATTGCATATTTGGACCTCAGTTTCGTGGGCACAGAACAGATACTGGGAATGAAGGGAGAGGCTTTCGCTGACTTCTGAGGAAATGAATGGCATCTACACTGGCACTGTGGGTGTGAGGCAGTGAGTAATTTTTCAGTGTGAAACCCGATGCGAGTGCCTGGATGATGTGTCTGGATGCCTTTGTCCATGAAGCTGTTCTCTGTGGACAGAGATACCCTTATGAAACACCCAAGGATATACCTAAGACAAAGTCTCTGTTATCACAAAGAGCTTTGTACTACAAAACAGTGTCAGAAAAGTTAAGATGGCATCTAGGACACCAGGTAATCAACATTCCCATGGGAATATAAATACCAGGTAAATATTGACTTGCAAAAATCCTTCCAGTGAGGACATATTCAGACAGCAAAGCAAGTGAGCTGACTGGGGTAACTACTCTGCAGGGTAATGGCCCAGCCAGGCCCCCACCACAGGTGATCACAGAGATTCCAACTCCCAGGCTGCATCTAAGTACTTTTATCTACTGCTCCTCTCTGCGCCCAATGCTTGCTACTGCACGCTCAGGCTTGGTGGAGGGAAACACAGCTTGTGGGGAGAGCAGGCCCCGGGCTAGTGCACATGTGGCACTAGCCAAGGTTCTGGATTCAAATGACAGCTCTCCTTGTGTGTGGCCAGACATGCGACCGAATCAAACAGTCGGCCAGTGGGACCAAGCGCCGGGTGTTCATCATTGAAACGATGGGAGGATACTGTGGCTACCTGGCCAACATGGGTGCTCTTGCTTCGGGAGCCGATGCTGCCTACATCTTTGAAGAACCATTTGATATCAGAGATTTACAGGTACGCCAATGCGTGCATGACTCCGAGAGCACTTCATTTAGCAGTGCTGATTAAAGACACCATATTTACAAACTCCCTATTGGGTTTTTGAAGGCTGGAGATGGTGTTATTAATCATTGCAAGCCGTTTGTTCGTTCAGCTGTCATCTCCAAATCCAGATATTTGTACTTGAGTCTTAGGAGCTTTTTGGATGGGTGACCATTACTAGATAATGTTGAGGATCCTTCTTGTGTGTGATGTTATTTTATACACATGAGTATGTATGTGCACACCTCATGGGCCAGAAGAGGGTTTCAGATTCCCTGGAATGGTTGTTAACCCCCATGTGAGTGCTGAGAATAGAAGCTGGATCCTCTCCAAGAACGGAAAGTGCTCGTAAGGGGTCTTAACCCCCTTTATCTCTGTGTTTATGTATGTATACGTATTTTATTTTATTTTATTTTTTATATTTTTTGGTTTATCAAGACAGGGTTTCTCTGTATTGCTTTGGAGCCTGTTCTGGAATTCACTTTGTAGACCAGGCTAGCTTTGAGCTCAGAGATCGACCTGCCTCTGCCTCCCAAGTGCTGGGACTAAAGGCGTGTGCCACCAACACCCGGCTTGTATAAGTATTTTTTAATGATCATCCTTATACCAATGTTTGGTATAAGTCACTTAAAGGTATGTGTTTAATGGGACCTGCTGTTTTAAATAGCATCCCGCAGGTCTTTTGAAGCACTGTCATTGTGCTGGTTTTGTTTCTCACTGTTATGATAAAATATCCAGGCGAAAGTAACTTCAGGGACAAAGTGTTTATTTCACTTGTAATTCCAGGTTATGGTCCATCATTACAGGGAAGTCAAAGCAGCTGGAACTGGAAGCTGCACATTCAAGAGCACAGAGAACAAATGCAGGCGTTGCTAGCCATCAACTTTCTCTTGTATATAGTTCAGAATCACCTTCCTAGGGAAGGTGTGAATCCTCCCTCCTAGGTTAACATCAAGATAAGTCCTCATAGACATACCCACAGACTCAAGCCTGATACATAGTCAGAGACGCTTAGGTAGCTGTTGATCGTGACGGGTTGACAATGAAAACTAACCATCATACTCATGAACATTAGGCAAATGTATAGAGTAAATATTTTAAGAGGGAAAACTAGTTGGGGATGGGACAGTATTCATTTACTAATACATATGCCCAGTAGCATAGCCCCAGTTATTACACATTCCATATTTGTCTGGTTTACTATCAATACCATCATGTTTTGCCATTACCCACTATATTCCCGTACTGTAATACCCCCCAAAACATTTAAGCTATAAAGCTGCTGACCGTATTCCATTCTAGTGTAAATGTTTTTACAGAAGGTGCCCAAAAAGTGTATTGTCTAATTGAGTAATAAAACATTCTTTTCTAGTCCAACGTGGAACACTTGAGAGACAAAATGAAGACCAGTATTCAGAGGGGCCTTGTACTCAGGTAATGAAAAGCATTTGCATTCTTCCATTTTAGAACTGGTTTCTTGGGCAGAAGCTGTCATGTGATCTAAACACCAGCAATATCTTTGCTTTGCCACTGATTCCATGAATCCTAAAGAAACACAGGTACAGACCTAAGTTGTTAAAAAACAAAACAAAATAAGACAAAACAAAACAACAACACCACCACCACAGGTTTTCCTTGAAATGAAGGGCAGTCCTTTATTTAAGACTTATTTTTGCTCTATAGTCTGTAAGCTGTTATTTTCAAGATATTTGCCACTCATTTACTTAAGCCCTCCTGGTCTTCAGGAAGAAAGGGAAATATCCACAGAGTCAGAGTTAGGGGCAGAGGTGAGGAGGCTGGTGTGGCAAGTGCCTGGGCATCCTGAGCCTGGAGCAGCCTGGCTAGGAGGAACTGTTCTCTAAAAAGCCCTCAGCCCTTCTCTACAGCCTGGAGTAAACTTGACTCCTTCACATTCATTTCAGAAACGAAAGCTGCAATGTAAACTACACCACTGACTTCATTTACCAGCTCTACTCAGAGGAAGGCAAAGGAGTGTTTGACTGCAGGAAAAACGTGCTGGGCCACATGCAGCAGGTAGGCTGTGGTCCTCTGTGGCCCCTGAGCCTCCAGGGGTCCCCTTTCGAATGGTGCCATTCTGTGGGAAGTGAGCATAAGTAAATTCTGAGATTATTGTAAGAATCCAACATTTTGAGTCATATAAAATGCCATCATCTTTAGGATGCTCTGTCTTCTATGATAGCTGGGGTTTATGGGAAATGCTTAGCTGTTTTTCTCATGGCCATGATCAAATAGCTGACAAAAAGCAACTTAGCAGCTAACAGAAAGCTTGGGAATCAATTGTCCCCCTTTTCTTTATTTGCTGAACTGTGTGTGATGTATGGAACTTTTGTCTTCATCCGTGTGTGTGTGTGTGTGTGTGTGTGTGTGTGTGTGTGTGTGTGTGTATTTGAGTTTGTTACTCATGTATGTAGAAGCACTGTGGTGTTTTGAGTAGATATGGCCCCCATAGACACATGTGTGTTTGAATGCTTGGCCTATAGAAAGTGACACTTAGGAAGTGGCCTTGTTGGAGGAAGAGGGCCACTGTGGAGGTGGGCCTTGAGGTCTCGTATATTAATCTCATTTCTATTATTGTAGGAAGGATTTATGTTGGCCAGTAGTTTAAGGAGAAAGACATGGGGCAGGAGTATGAAGCAGCTGGTCTTTTGGAATCCACAGTCTGGGGGCAGAGGGCCATCAGAAGTGGGGCTGGGTTAAGAGACATCAATTGAGCTTCCTCTGTGACCTACTTCCTCCATTTAGTCTATCTTAAGCTCCCCTCCCTCCAATAGAAGACCAAATGTTCTAAGACATGATGAGCATTTTGGGGAGATTCCACACTTAAGCCACAGCAGGATTTTTAAGGAAAAAACTACCAGATTCCATGTAGACAAAGAACACTGGTCAATGGAAATATTCTGGTTACTTTGTTGAAGTATCAGCATTTACTGAGCTTTAAGATGGAATATGACATCAGAAATATTTATTTGACACTTTCACCAAGTCAAAATCATTTGGAAATATAGAAGTATTTCTCAGAATAATGGCATTTTTTTATTGTCTTCTTTTTTTATACTCTCTAATTATGACGAATAATTGTGTCTAGGTGACAAGGTTGGATATCAGCTTCGGAGTCAGTGGTCCCCTTGTTCTTTATTTGCTGGCCTGTGTGCAATGTAGGGAAATTTTTGTCTTCAGCCATTTGTGTGTGTGTGTGTGTGTGTGTGTGTGTGTGTGTGTGTGTATTGCTCATGTATGTAGATGTACTATGTTAGTTTGAGTAGATATGACCCTCATAGACTCATGTGTATTTCAATGCTTGTTCTATAGAAAGTGGAACTATTAGGAAGTGTGGCCTTGTTGGAAGAAGTGTGTTACTGTGGAGGTGGGCTTTGAGGTCTCATACGCTGGAGCATACCCAGTGAGACAGTTCACTTCCTGTTATTTGTGGATTAAGATGTAGAAGTTTCGGCCGGGCGTTGGTGGCGCACACCTTTAATCCCAGCACTCGGGAGGCAGAGGCAGGCGGATCTCTGTGAGTTCGAGGCCAGCCTGATCTACAAGAGCTGGTTCCAGGACAGCCTCCAAAGCCACAGAGAAACCCTGTCTCGAAAAACCAAAAAAAAAAAAAAAAAAAAAAAAAGATGTAGAAGTTTCAACTCCTTCTCTATAGCAAATTGCCTGCCTGCATGCCACTCTCCATGATGATAATGAACTAAACCTCTGAACTGTAAGCTGGCCCCCAATTAAATGTTTTCATTTGTAAGAATTGCTGTGGTAGTGATGACCCTTCACAGCAATAGAACACTGACTAAGACATGTGCCCTTTTCCCTTTTTGGTATGTATGTACATGTGTGTCCACTGTGTGTGGAGGCTTAATGTTGACAGCAGGAATCAGCCATGATTGCTCACCCACATTATTCATTGAGGAAGAGTCTCAATCAAATTCAGAGACTACTGATATTGTTATTTTGCTAGTCAGTGAAGGTACCCACTTGAGGGAACTAGGAGCCACTAACTTATTTCAAAAGAGTTCATGAATTCCTGAAGTTGAGTAGGAATGTGTATAGTCTCATTTTTATCAGTCAGATTTTTATCAGTAAAGGATCTGTGATTCACCCCACGTATTAGAACAGGGCTAGGAAGATGGCTCTTTGGGTAACAGTCCTTGTTCTGTAAGAATGAGGACCAGAATGTGAATCTCCAGCACCCACATAATAAGTGAGGCATGTCTGCACCTGCCTGTAACACCAACACTGGGATATAAGATAGACAGATTGAGAAAATAAATAAATGGGAGCTTCCAGTTATTGGTGGAAAGCCATAGAGTAGACACTTGGTGTCTTGCACTGCTCACTGCATGTGCACATGTAGATGAGCACACCTGCATTTTCGCATGTCTGCACCACACAGACAGAGAGACACAAAGAGAGACAGAGACAGGAAGAGTGATAGCTGACTTGTTTAGTTGAGAACACCACAAGGTTGTGTAGGAGGCCGAGTTGAGGTTCGGTTCCAAGACTTGCAAAACTGTTTCCTTCTTGTCCTGTATATTCAAAACCAAACCATATTTGCAGATTTGCAGTTCTAAATGACTCATGGATCTTGTTAAGTTATGGTATTTTTTGATTAATTTTTAAAAAAATCTGGAGAAATTACTGTAACTGACTTACATTTCATTATCTTGCTCACCACAGGGGGGATCACCTTCTCCATTCGACAGAAACTTTGGGACAAAAATCTCTGCCAGAGCTATGGAGTGGATCACGGAGAAACTGAAGGGGTCCCAAGGCACAGGTAGGAGTCAGTGGGGAGAATAGGCACACAGTGTGAGATACCTCAGTTCCCTCACTGGGAACCCTGTGTTATAAAAGCTATGATGTCTTTTCTCCTTTAAATCTGCCGTCAAGATGCCCAATATACCATCTTATCCTTCCTTGCCTGTGAGTACTGAATACCATTTGTGACTTCCCAAGGTTATAAATAAACATCATTAATAAAAATGAATGCTTTATTTCTGCTGTTAGCAAATGGGTGACAAGCAGTTTTTTAGCATTCTTGTTAGCCAGAAGACTGTTGGGCACGCATTGCTCGCCATTCGCAAGACCGTAAAAGGTAGCCTTTATTTATCTCTGTGGCGTCATGAAACACATTCAGGGTCCTTTCACTTAGGTTATGTAACAGTTGTTCATTGATTTGGTTCACAGACAACTTTGACATCGGGTGAGAAAGATGCACAACTGCCTGGGAGGTCTCTGTCCGATTTTCCTCCTTCAAACCCTAAATATTGTTTTTTTTTTTTAATTCTCTCATACAGTACTTCCTGATGACAATTTCCCCTCCCTTTCCCCTCTTCCCTCCCCTCCAGATTCATTCCTCTTCCATTTCCCATCAGAAAAGTGCCGGCCTCCCAGGGATATCAACTGAACATGACATACAGAGCAAGATACAATAAACTAGGCACAAATCTTTCTATCAGGTCTGGGTGAGGCAACCCAGTAAGAGGAAAAGGTTCCCAAGAGCAGGCAACAGAGTCACAGACACCTCCCACTTTTAGGAGTCCCACAAAAGCACCCAAACTAACAACCAAAACATATATGCAGAGGACCTAGCACAGACTCAGTGTATGCTGCTTCAGTCTCTGTGAGCCCTGCTTAGTTGATTCTGTGGGCCTTGTTCTTCTGGTGTCTTCAATTCCTCTGGCTTCTACAATTCTTTCTCCCCCTCTTCTGCAGGATTCCCCATGTTCTAAGGGGAGGAACTTGATGTAGCTTTCCCATTTGGGCTCTCTCTCTACCTAATGTTTGGCTGTGGTCTGAGATACTGTCTTTCTTCAATATTTTATTCTCTTTTCCAGAGCTAACCATAGGATTTTATGATAACCATTCTTTTGATTTCTTCTAGATTCTAGAATGTTACTATGAAGTGAATACATCTTTCAGGTGCAATTCAGCTCTGCTTTCTAGATTGTATGGAGGAAGGTTGTGTTTCTGTACTTTTGTGATGGTCTTGTTCACACACTGATGAACACACACGATGGAACTGCTAACTGCTAAGACCTGCTAAACTTTGGTGTCTCCAAGTTTCTTGACTCAATATGTTGTAGAGTCTGGGGTCTCTCCCTCCCCCATGCCTACCCCAGATGTATGCTTAACATAGGCTCTAAGGTAGTCTCAGCCTCTGGTTACTCACAGGCACACTGGTTTCCTTTATGCCCACCTGGCCCATGACTGACACCCAGACATTCCAATTCGTTGGGATAGGACACTTATTTTTGTGATGGAAAATATCCACCAGCTGTTTCCCAACTGGTATTTTTCACAGAGTCTTCTGAAAATGAAGGGGGCAGGGGGTTTCTTCCCTCATAGTCCGTGTAATGTGGGAGTTTAGCTTTCCTGTGTTTGGTAGACTCTTCCTGTGAAACCATCTGCCAAAACCTCCGGCTTCCTTTGTGGAAAGATTTGAGTGCTAAATGGATTTCATTCATGCTCAATGAAAGTACACACTTCTTTTCTTCTTGGATAACTTTTTAAAATTTTTTAAATTTTAAATAGCTTGTTTTACATGTCAATCCTAGTTCTCTCTCCCTCCCCTCCTCCTGCACCCCTCCCCCCCAGCCTCCCACCCTATTGCCAATTCCTTCCACATAGGGGATATCTAGAGTCTGTCATTTCACTAAGGTTAGGGTTCAGGCACTCCCCTAAGAGTTCTTGGATAATTTTTGTAACTTATGTTTTCTAGGATAGTTTAAAATATTTACATTGTCAAAAATTTGCATGAAGCCGGGTGTTGGTGGTGCATGCCTTTAATCCCAGCACTTGGGAGGCAGAGGCAGGCGGATCTCTGTGAGTTCGAGGACAGCCTGATCTACAGAGCGAGTTCTAAGGCAGCCTCCAAAACAATACAGAGAAACCCTGTCTCAAAAAAAAAAAAAGAAAAAAAATTTGCATGAAACTTTTCACGCTATCCCCTTTTGAAGCCTGCAGTTTTAGATCCTGTTCCCTTTTCATAGAGATTTTGCACTAGGGTTTTTGGCACCGCGTTCCTACCTCAGGCTTTATCAGTCATACTAGGTGTGCTTTCATTAGAATAGACCTATACAGTGACCAACATGGGGCTCACAAAAGTGGCACTCGACAAAAAGGATATAATTCCAACTGACTTAGTATTTTCAAAATCCTGACTCTGGCGTTTTTTCTCTTGATAGTTTTTCTATATCACTTTATACTCTTGTATTCTTTCTTTCTGCCTCACTTTCTTTTCCCAGTTTGTCCTTGAACATTTATTATTAAAGGGACATCTTCTTGCAATTTGAGCACATTTTCTTATACCATTTAGTGAAATACCTGACACTCTATGAAATTCTCCTTTGCCAGACTAGAGAGATAGCTCAGAGGTTAAGAGCACTTAAGAGCACTGACTGCTCTTCTAGAAATCCTGAGTTCAATCCTCAGCAACTACATGATGGCTCACAACCATCTATAATAAGACCTTGTGCCCTCTTCTGACATGCAGACCTACATGCAGGTGGAACACTGTATATATAATAAAATGCTCCTTTCCAGAAACCTGTCCCACTGGTGGCCAATATACAGCCAGTGTACTGTATGTAGGAAGCAGGTAAAGGGCTCTTTTTTGGGTGTATGACATAAAGAAGGCCCCAGCACAATCTAGGCCTCTTTGTGCCCCATCCTGGAGGAACCCTGAAGGTACCTAAGAAGACAGAGCTCAAGTCTGGGGAAGGAAACTGTTCCTAGAGTTCCCCTCAAGAGACTGGACTGTTTCTCAGGAGTACTCCACACCCCCATTGGGCTTGGCACTGAGCTGCTGCTCTTCAGAAGGCCTCTGAAGAGCTGCCGTTCTTCCCTCCATACAGATATGCTCTCTGGTGGTTTCTCACCCTTCACGGTCTTGTTTTTCAGATGCTGTTAAGTGTGCTCACTCAATATGCTGAGTATTTCATATTTTAACTTTCACAGGGAAAAAATTTGTTAGTGATGATTCCGTTTGTCTCCTGGGAATAAGAAAAAGAGACCTCCTGTTTCAACCAGTGGTGCAACTGAAGAAAGAAAGTGATTTTGAGTAAGTCCATGAACTATTCCTTATCTAAATCTATTCATGAGAATGGATGAGAACTAGCAGCTCCGAGGGCAGATCACCAGTGCTACTCTGGTTACCATATGGAACTCACTTAGTGAACTGTTTTAGGTAATATCTGAGCTTTTCTGAAGCTAGTTAGGTGTGTGTCTGTGTGTGCGTGCGTGCGTGTGTGTGCGTGCGTGTGTGTGTGTGTGTGTGTGTGTTTGTGTGTGTGTGTGTCTGTGCGTGTAACACTAGGGTAGATGTTTTAGATAAAAATAGAAGTAATGGTTTCAGCTGACCTGTGGAAATTGCTCTATGCAGTGGGGTGTGGTGGAACAGGCCTGCAATTCCAGCACTGAGGCTGATTTAGGGTAATCCTAAATTCAAGGTCAGATGGGACAACAGGGTGAGACTTTGCTCCAAAACAGTAACTATATAAAGGGATGAGGACATTGCTGGTTGTAGAGCACTTACCTCGTTGTTTGGGTCCTAGGTTCAATCTCCAGTGACATACATGCATATATACATACAGACACACATGCACACACATACAGACATGTGTATACACACACACACACAGGGCGTGGTAGTGATACTTGTCATCCTAGCATTCACTTACAAACTAAAGGATTTCATGTTTACAGTCACCCTGGGCTACGTAGTAAGACCTTGTCTTGAAATTAAATATAGTTGCCATAACACCCCAAATTTCTTGAGGTGACCACAAAGTTCATCTTCTCTGGGGAGGCCATTCAAACAGTTCCCCAGCAGCCTGTAGCAGTCGGAAGTTGTCTTCCAGTACACACATAATACTTGATGGCTTATCTTTCTGCCAGGCACCGGATCCCCAAGCAGCATTGGTGGCTGAAACTGCGGCCTCTCATGAAGATCTTGGCCAAGTACAAGGCGAGCTATGACGTATCTGATTCAGGCAAGCTGGAGCCCTTGCAACACAATCAGGGCACCTCATTTGGAGAACCGGCAGCCATCTGATCAAGCATGCTATCACCTGACCTGCACACTTGTCTAAGGAAGCCTGTAACGTTCCCCGGGGACCATGCTTTTTGTAACATAGTTATTTATCAGCACTTTATGCAAGTATTGTTGACCAAGTATTGCCAGCAGTGATAATCAGAGAGCACCACTTGCCATAACCACTGAGAAATGAAATCCAGCCTCATGCCCTTGATCAGGTGTCAGTTTTCTACTGTACTGGGTACTGTCATGTGCATCACCATGTATGTATCTTGTGGAATTAAATATTTGGTTACAACTCCCATGGTACCCCCTTTATTTTAAGTAGGAGTCTGAAATCTCAATGATGCTTTTTCCTTGCCTCCAAGGGTTTCCTCAGAAGTTTTATGGACACAGGCTAGCAACGTCTCCTTAGATCGGGGGCAGGTGTAGATAGGGACTATGCAAATAGTCATGAAAGGAGGGGAGAGAAGAATGCTATGATAAACACCAGCTGTGTGCGTTAAGTGACCACGGAACTCCTCTGTGGCTCTACTGAAAGGGAGGGGTCAGAGGACCCGAGTTTGATGGCCACAACCCATTAAATAAGGAAGGTGTGGTGTATGCACTAGCAGAGACTGGCAGATCTCCAGGGTGCTGGCCAGTCCTAGCCTGCTTAGTGAGAGACCCTGTGTCGAAATACAAAGCAAAACAAATCAAAACATGGAGGATGCTCAATGAAGGACACCACAGGAAGTCTGCTGACTTCTGACCTCCACATGCTTACGTAAATGCAGATTATCATCTTTCTCACATGCTCTATCACCCATCCCGTCGTCTCTGACATACAGTGCTGAGCTTACCTGGCTCTGACACTGATGATCATACAGGTGGAGAACAGTATTAACTCCCGGGTTATGATTTCAGTTATTTAAATGTACATCACTACTCTTAGCTAGTTGTTCTTGTAAAATAAGGATTTTAAAATGACAAGGATGAACCAGTGATATATATACCTTCTAGTCTCAGTTTCAGCCTTAGTTGTACACATAAAGTCACCAAGGGGGTTTTCAAGGACAATATGACATCAGCTTCTCCAAAAGCAGTGGTTCTAAGTGGAACTTGGGCTTTCCCCCTCTGAAAGTCTGATAACTCACTGTAAGGATTAATGATGGGGTTCCAGGCAATAGGGCCTCCCACTCTACCCCCTATACCCTCAACTGATGAGTCATCTGCAAGGCAAAGCACCCCTGCCTCTCGCCCCTAGTCAAGGTGTTCTTACTTCTACTTAAGGCATCCTCTAGATACCTACACAGCAGTAATATGGACAATTTTACAGAGGAAGGGGGTGATTTAAGAGTCAACTGTGTTTGGGGATAAAATAATAAAAGAAACAAGACACTCACTGAAGACAAAGGGAAAATCTTGGGTTAACATTACCACAACTAACTCTTGAGGTGGATGCTCACTGGAGAGCCCTGTGGGACTCAAATCTGCACTTCCCTTCCTGTCTATGATGTGATCACACTCGCACCATGCAGACTTCTACGTTTGTTCATGTGTTCCTTCTAAAAAATGATTTATTCTATAAGTATGAATGTTTGACTGCATGTATGCCCGAGCACTGAATGTATGCAGGGTTTGCCCTTAGGATCCAGAAGAGGACATCAGCTCCCCAGAAACAAGTTACAGATGGTAGTGAGATGCTAATGGGTTCCGGGAACTTAACCCTGGTCTCCTGCAAGAGCAGCAAGTGCTCTTAGCTGCTGAGCTGTTTCTCCAAATGAATATTCATTCTTCTTTTTTTTTTAAAGAACGACTTTTATTTTTAAAATAAATGTTCTAGGCTTAGTAACATTTCAGAATTTTAATTTGTTCACCTTTGTCACTGAATGTATGATAATTTTAATGAATTTCTTCATACTCGCAGTATTTCCTTAAGAGTTTCTGCTCAACTCGTGAGTCAATAACATCTTTGGTCAGATTTTTAATATGATATGACTATGATTTTTGGAACAACAACACACAAACTGTAACACTTGTGACCACTCATAATAAATTCAGCTCAGAGGCTTAGTTTTTAAGAGCCTCTGATTTCTTATATATATTCAGAAATATGCAAGACTCATTCATTATCTTATGATCCAGGATGGGTCTTTGGCAATTTTTGAGTTCTCTGGTCCGAGTATAGCCAGGCCGTGTGTGCTCTTCCCGATGCCAAGGTACCTACAAGGGAGATGGGACATTGGACTGTTTTCTAGTTGAAGCATTTTTAGTGGTCAACAGGGGCCTTTACCTTTCTGAGTTTCCCTCCCTCCTGCTAACACAGGAAGCCAGGGCACACATACTCACTTATGGCTCACAGAGGTCAGTCTGTCATGGCTGACAGCAAAGAGCTGTTCCCGGTAGGCCTGCTTCATTTCATCAGAGAGGCCATACAAGAAGTGGTCCATTCCTAAAAGTGAAACCACAGGGATGGTCAGACAGATGGCTTGCACAGGGACCTCTGTGCTCAAATTGTAGTGGGCACACTCATGTCACTTTATGGTATGTTCTTCAATCAAAAAGTTTACATGGGCAAGAGAGATCAAATTTGACATCCATCTCTACAAAACGGCACCAAACCCGTTATAAACTCCCCCTTTCAAAAAGAGTATGGATGAATGATCAGCACAGGTCATGGGTAGGACTGAAGAATGAGGTGGTCAGTCTTGCGCTGTGTTAAAATGTCTTCCTTTGCCCAAAATAGCTCTCAGATCCCCTGGGAGCCAAGTTCCAAGTGCGTGTGAACTGCCAGAGTCAAACCCAGATCCTTTGCAAGAGCAATAATCAACCGCTCTTAATTGCTGAGCCTTGCATCGCCCCACCCACCTTGGTTTCTGAGGGAGATCCTTCTTCACCAGACTGGAGCTCACCATGTAGTGTATACTGGCAGTATGACTGGTGAGCCTCAAGGATCTACCTGTCCTCAGCTGCCCAGTGTTGACATTATGAAGTACCTACTGCTATGCCTGGCTTCTTACATGGATTCAACGCAGGTCTGATTCACTGTTTAACACGTACTTTACTGATGAAGCTGTTTTTAAGGTCAGTGTTCAGGTGGTCAAATGTGAACACACAGGACAGGGATAGGAGAAACTGCAAGAACACAGTTCCTACTGTGTTTCATCCATGTGAGTCAGAGACACACGACTCAGAAAACTGTCTGGAATTCTGCCCCGGGGGAAACCACACACCCAGGTTACTAGGATTTAAAATACCTTTATCTGATGGAGCAACAGGAGAATCCACAGCAGAGAAAACAGAAAGCTTGGCTTCATCGATGTCCTGCTGCGTGAACTTTCCAGATTTAGCCCAGTCTATGGCCTTCCCAAAAGATTGGAGTGTTTCTATGGAGTTTGGATCCCTGGGAACCCAAAGAGCCAACACTGAATACTGGGGGGTGGGGGGGGTCCATGATAAACACGTGAGTTTAACAGCTCTAATTTTTTTCTGATAGTCAATGTCTCTGGAGAAATGCCAATCTGACCCAGGAAGACTCATGACACACTCACTCCCTCTATATTTATTATCACAGTCACCTGCTTCCTCACTGCTCGACTGTGACTTCATCTAGAGGGGAAGTCACAGGATGATGGGGGGTCAGGAATACTAAGGCATTACTGAAGAGCCATGGAGATGATGCACATTAAACTAGCCCTTACTTCCCCGGAACAGACTCAGAATAAGCCAGAAGTGAGCTAGACTTGGGGGGAAATTTCTGGAGTACTTTCTTATGCCTAAAGCTCCTCTTAGATTTTTAGGTTCACTATCAAGGACCTGAGATTTGTCAGTGGAACTCTCCCTGTCCAAAGTACAGTTCTGTGAGACAGAGGCAGGGACAAGGAGAATGACATCAGTGGCAAGGCCTAGTTCTTCATACGTTGGCATACAAGGCTTCAGGAAATAGTACCTGAGAGACTAAACACTTACAGAAAATAGCAACAGTCTCACACCTGTGAAAACCCAGCAGAACCATATCCTGATTAGGTTCCCACAACAGAAGTAAGTTCAGAACCTACTCTGACTGCATTCTACCAAAACATGCTGGTTATGAAGCGAGAGTTTTGTCTAATGTACACAATACAACAACGCAACCCTTATACCATTGTGTCTGCACCTTGCCACAAAAAAAAAAAAAAAGATATAGTCCAGTGGTTAGATGATCACAATGAGGACCAAATAAACAGCTGTCACCTTCACTGCACTAATGTTCACAGACTGGTGACAACCCAGAAACTCACCTGTAAGAGTAAAGCGTAAAAATCCCACTGTGGCTGAGTTTAGCACCTCCACCATAAGCCCCTCCCTTTTCTCGAATTTCTGTATGCAAGAATTTAGCTGTCATTAGACGGGCAAGGATCTTAAGGCTGAAATGAGGGGAGAAGAAAAACAAGTTAGAGTATGCCTCATAGGAAACATAGCATAAAAACCAATGTCAGAAATGGGGTGGACAACTGGAAAGGAAATTAAATCTGGTTAGGTTATAAGGGCAGATACAATGGGCCCTCTTCCAAGGCACTCTGCCTCCTCTATCAGCGAGGGCCTTTCTAAGCTTCCTCAAAGGAATCTGGAACTGCCCCTTGCTTTCAAACCCCCTTGCTTTCAGACCCCCTTGCTTTCAGACCCCCTTGCTTTCAGAGATGGATCAGTCTAGGCTGCTGTCACTTCAGGGCTTCAGGACACTCTGCCATTCTCCTCAGGGATCTGTCTCTCTTCAGGACTCCTAGAGTACACAATCCATGTACCACTATCTGCCACTTTCAAAATTCCCTGCAACTCTTCCACGCTGCACACCATGCCATCTAGATGGCTAATATCGACTGCCAAACTGAGGGGACACATATGCGGAGGAGTGTCCAGACTGAGTTTGGCACCATGGGAGAACCTGAATGAGGGCAGCACCGTCCCATGGGCTGGGGGCCCAGACTGTATAAAGGGAGAGTGTGAACTGAGCGCCAGCGTCCCCTGCCCTCTGCTTCCTGGCTGAGGACACAACATGAGCTGCTTCAGGGTCCTGCTGCCATGGCTTCCTCATCCTGACAGAAGGCAGCTTCCAACCTTGAACCATAATAAACCCTCCCTTCCGTGGTGACTAAAACACTATCCTGCCTTTTCTTCCTGGTGGCTTTATGGCCTTGTTAACATCCTTGCTGATATTCTACAGGGTGACCTGTGTGTGTGTGTGTGTGTGTGTGTGTGTGTGTGTGTGTGTGTGTGTGTGTGTGTGTGTCTCAAATGCAAGCACATGGGTTCATTCTACATTTATCAGACAGTTCTAACA